TCCCTATTCCCCAGGTAGTTCAAGAGAAGAGATTAAAAAGAGAGTTCAGGATGGAAACTTGTGTGGAAGCCATAAAGCAGAGGTGGCTAACATTTGATCCTCCGGCTGTTGGACTTATTTTGCCACAATCCCAGACTATTGGCCATGCTCGATGTTGATGAGAGATGGGTATGCAACCACATCTGCAGAGTCTCAGGATAGCTATAAAGGTTGGGTAGCTATGCACGGAACATAAACTCAGTTTCCATAACCCTCGAATGTGCCATAGAAACAACTGGCCTGTTTTAAGCCGAGATCTACGAATCTAAAGTTTGTAGCAGCTAGCATGGGAATATGTTGCACATATACAAATCTACAAGCTATTCATGCTTCTCTTTAGAGGCAAATATTTTATTGGTCTTCTGTATTTAGATGGTAATGATGTATGGGGGGGCATGAAAAAGCTCAAGAATCAACAAATGAGGGTGGCAGATTGAGGTGAGGAGAGCATGGTTTATAAAGGGATTGAAGCAATGGGAACTCCTCTTAATAATACCATTGTTGCTTCAGAAGACTTAGCTCTGGCACAGGACTGGTATTTGCACAGATTTTAGCTTTCAAAAAGGTCCTTTATGTTTCTAACCTGGAAGCTGGCCACTGTAATAAAGGGAGATATTGTGTTGGGTTTAAATAATAAGTATCTGTAGCTTAATGTGAATTTATAAACTTTATTTTGCCAGCATTACGCCTTTGAGAACGGCTGCTGATTTGTTCCCGGAGAATGACAGATACCACCTTGTTAAGCTATCAGTATAGCTGGCCTAAAAATGTATTTGAAGTTCCATCGATCTCTTGTTCAGGAAGAAATACTGACTAACATAATCTTAGAACAGTGGGTGTCCCCCTCAGGATTGGAGTAATACTTCTCACTCTCTGCCCTTGTGACCCCAGGCTGCCTGGCATCATAGCAAAAAGTGTAGAAGAAAAATACACTTTACATTCACTTGCTTTGCCTACAGAATAAAAGAAGTTGTAAAATGCATTTTTGTTATGAAAACAATAATGATGCACTATGGAAACAAGAAATATGAACAACCTCAGATATGCAGATGACACAACATTGATGGCAGAAAGTGAGGAGGAATTAAAGAACCTTTTAATGAGGGTGAAAGAGGAGAGCGCAAAATATGGTCTGAACCTCAACATCAAAAAAACGAAGATCATGGCCACTGGTCCCATCACCTCCTGGCAAATAGAAGGGGAAGAAATGGAGGCAGTGAGAGATTTTACTTTCTTGGGTTCCATGATCACTGCAGATGGTGACAGCAGCCACGAAATTAAAAGACGCCTGCTTCTTGGGAGAAAAGCAATGACATACCTAGACAGCATCTTAAAAAGCAGAGACATCACCTTGCCAACAAAGGTCCATATAGTTAAAGCTATGGTTTTCCCAGTAGTGATGTATGGAAGTGAGAGCTGGACCATAAAGAAGGCTGATCGCCGAAGAATTGATGCTTTTGAATTATGGTGCTGGAGGAGACTCTTGAGAGTCCCATGGACTGCAAGAAGATCCAACCTCTCCATTCTGAAGGAAATCAGCCCTGAGTGCTCACTGGAAGGACAGATCCTGAAGCTGAGGCTCCAATACTTTGGCCACCTCATGAGAAGAGAAGACTCCCTGGAAAAGACCCTGATGTTGGGAAAGATGGAGGGCACAAGGAGAAGGGGACGACAGAGGACAAGATGGTTGGACAGTGTTCTGCATGAGTTTGACCAAACTGCAGGAGGCAGTGGAAGACAGGAGTGCCTGGCGTGCTCTGTTCCATGGGGTCACGAAGAGTCGGACACGACTAAACGACTAAACAACAACAACAAATGGAAACAAAGAACAACAAAAAAAATATTTGTTGGTATGCTTGCAGGCCGTGGCTGGTATCTGATTAAGTTTTACTCAGGCCCATTGAAATCAATGAATATTACTAAGTTAGGTCCATTCATTTCAATAGGTCTGTTCTGGGTTGATCCAGTTGATGTGGTGACAAGGGTCCTAAGGAAAGGTAAAATATTACATTGTGATTATTTTGGGGCATCTCACCTCAATTTTGGCTCAATTATACTTTCCCCAAGAGAACTAGGTATACGTAATATACATACAGTATATGACTTTCTAAAAGTTGAAATGTTGGAAACGGATGCTATGTTTTAAACACAGGGTGCAATATTTCTTCCTGTTAAGGCTCAATCTATACACCTTCTCCCCGCAAGGATTACCCAAACGCTAATGAATTCAATTTTGAACAGTGGATGACAGGATGTGTTTAGATTTTATCAGCAGCAGCAGTAGTTGAATTCTCCTAAAATTTTCTTCCTATTCTCTAGCAGTTACTGGGAAATCTTTCAGACGAGCAAGGCAATCTGCCACCCCAGGCAAGAGAGTAGCTGTGCTTGTTCTTCCAGCATAAAAGAGCAGGTTGCTTTCTATACCTTGTTCTTTACCGGACAGTGAAGTAGCCACTCATTCTCTACTTCCAGCCTCTCTGCTCCAAGCAGGTCACAGGGAGCCAGACAATGCATTTTTCATTTCTCCTCTTGCAGCCCAAAGGACAGTCTCACCGGTGAAGCCAGTGCGCAGAGTGCGCACATTATGAGTAGCATCGCTGACTGATGTGTAGTGTAAGTGGAGACATGCTTATTGAAATTGCATGGCTTTAATGTCCTTGATTTCATTTTCAAATTACGTTTTCTCGTTGCAAATTACATGCCCTGTGTTTTTCTTTGACAAAGAGCAGCTGTAAGCGGACTTAGAAGTGACAACTACTGAACAAATGACCCACTGCTTTCTAGGTCCCTGTTAGCTACTTGATTCCAATGGCCATCCCTTTCAGTCTCAGAGCTTATGTATTGGCCAGTCCCCTCCCACACTGTATTTGAGAACTCCATTGCTGTTCCCACTCAACACCACTCCTTTAATTGACTGGCTATCCTTTTAATTTCAGCGAGTTCCTTTAGTGGGAATAACTGAGCCTAATTGGACCCCAGGCACCGCTCGAGGAAGTGGATTAATCAAATGGGAGGGGGGCGTTTCCCGCGGCTGTGCAAAGACCTCCACTGATCAGACAGAATTCATCAGACAGGAAATCCTTTTAGTGATGCAATTGCTGAGCCAAGATAGACCATGCCGTAATAAACGGCATACTTACGGCTTGACCCAGACACTATCTCATATCTTGCACCATGAGGCACAAGGACACTGCAGAGAAAAGGGTGGGTCTGCAGATATTTATTCTGACTACAGCAGGCATGACTACAGCAGGCATGTGGGACGCGGGTGGCGCTGTGGGTTAAAGCCTCAGCACCTAGGACTTGCCGATCGAAAGGTCGGCGGTTCGAATCCCCGCGGCGGGGTGCGCTCCCATCGTTCGGTCCCAGCGCCTGCCAACCTAGCAGTTCGAAAGCACCCCCGGGTGCAAGTACATAAATAGGGACCGCTTACTAGCGGGAAGGTAAACGCCGTTCCGTGTGCTGCGCTGGCTTGCCAGATGCAGCTTGTCACACTGGCCACGTGACCCGGAAGTGTCTGCGGACAGCGCTGGCCCCCGGCCTATAGAGTGAGATGGGCGCACAACCCTAGAGTCTGTCAAGACTGGCCCGTACGGGCAGGGGTACCTTTACCTTTACCTTTACAGCAGGCATGCTAAGCATGTCACTATTCTTGCTTTTGTAGTTCCAAGCACTATAGGCATAGCTTAGGAGAAATGGGCATTTCAAAGCTGCACATACCATCGATCCCTATCCCGCATCATGCCAGAAGTTGCTTTCTGACTTAAAAATGACAGGTTAATCTGCAAGCGGGCTAAGAGAGAATAACAAAGGGGAAATGTTGGGACTGGTCTGATGGGGAACAGGAATTAGTGCGCTTTTGATTTGCACTTACATAGGATTTGCACTTGCATAGTGGCCACTGGCCTGATCCAACAGTCTCTCCTTTTGTCCTTGAGCTACCTGTATGCTTGCAGATAATTGGAGTCCAAATTGGACTGTTCAATGCAACTGCATGTCATTGAGAACTTGGAAGGCTATCAGAGTAGAATATGACAATGGTCATCTAGTCCAAGCCTCTGCAATACAAAAATCTTTTGACCCAACGTGGGGCTGGAACCAGCGACCCTGAGATTAAGAGTCTCATGCTCTTACTGGCTGAGCTAACCACACTCACAACTTGAATAGTGAGGGGAAAGAGACGGAATGATGGGTGACCATACTGACATACAGTGGTACCCCGGGTTAAGTACTTCATTCGTTCTGGAGGTCCGTTCATAACCTGAAACTGTTCTTAACCTGAAGCACCATTTTAGCTGATGGGGCCTCCTGCTGCCGCCATGCCGCTGGAGCACAATTTCTGTTCTTATCCTGAAGCAAAGTTCTTAACCTGAAGCACTATTTCTGGGTTGGCGGAGTCTGTAACCTGAAGCGTATGTAACCTGAGGTACCACTGTACTGTGGTTGCTGAAGGGATTTAATCTTTTAAAAATGTTTTCAAATGATACACACACACACGCAAACATATACAGATATATAAAATCAAAAACAATATTTTAATATTAAATATTAATATTAAAATTAAAAAATAGTATATATATTGTATATATACTATTTTTAATTTTATTCTTAATATTTTATTTAATATTTAAAATTAAAGTTATTCCCACCACAACCACAGTATTTTAAATATTATATATAATTAATATATTAAAATATTATGTGTGTGTGTGTGTGTGTATAAAATATATATAACGGATCGCATTTCCCCCACAAGACTTAAGTCCCGAGGTAAGTTACCTTACCCCGCTGTACTTCCGTATTTCTAGCGCGAGTTCTCACGTTCCATTTCAGAGAGAGCGCGAAAGCGGAAAGTAACCCGAGAGTCCCCCGTTCCCCCCACCCCCGTGAGCGAGATCACGACTCCCAACTTTTCCTATCTCTACACAACCTCGCGCGACGGTCACGCGGCGAGGGCTGCTTTCCGGCCGGCCCTTGGCTGTCGCAAAAGCGCAAAGATGGCGGCGGCGACTCCCTCGTCGGGCTACGCGGCTTGGGTGGCTCGGCTAGCCGAGCTGAAGAAGCTGCGGGGCAAGCAGCCCCGGGTGAGGCCTTACCGGCCCCTGGTGCTGGCCAACCAGGTCTCCAACCGGCGCCTGGGCCTCGGAGGTGGGTTTCCTCCACAGTCCCAGCTAGCGTTGTCCCCTCTCGCGTCTCCTATTGCAATGTAAAATCCTACGTCCTGTATTGATACTACAGTTTTGTCCTGTATTTCAGGTCGTCGTCTCTCTCTTTCTGCTAAGTTAGGGACCCTCTCCGAATAGGTAAAAAAAAGGTAAAGGACCCCTGGACGCGGTTAAAAACACGTGTTTGAAAGGGTGTGTGAAAGGTCATGTATTTCATTGAATATTTACCAGATAAATTGGAAACAGATAAGAACATTGGCAGGATTATTGTAATAACCTGCAGTTGTATAAGAGTGTATATTTTTAGATTAGATGAATAAATGAGCAAATTAAGTTAATTTGGATATGCAGGAGATATTAAAAATAAATTTAAGGAACCGCAGAAAGAGGGGAAAGGAAGTCAAGTTTTGAAATGTTAAGATGATTGAAAAATTGGTGAAATGTATAAACCTGAAAAGCATAAATAAAATTTAAGAAAAAGAAAAAGAAATGTCACCTATTTGAGCTCTGGGTAGCCAAGCGCAGACAGATTTGCAAATTCATGAGTGTGTGTGTGAGAGACAAATGTCAAAGGGGCCATCCTATTAGGCTGCAATAGATTGTAATGGATTACTCTGAAGTCACTTCTCACCCAGCCCTGCCCTGTATTTTGCCAGAACAAAGGTGGCAACCGTAGACTCCCAACTCAGACTGCACCCTGCACCCCGCTCCACTCCATGCGCAGCGGACCGCTGTGGCTACACCAGCCTGGTTCAGCGATGTCCGTTAATTCCAAGGTATCTGCTGCTCTGGATATGAAGCCTAGAGTCGTAGGGAGTTGGAAGGGGTCCCATAGGTCATCTAGAACTTTTGCCCCAACGTGGGGCTTGAACCTACGGCCCTTGAGATTAAGAGCCTTGGGCTCTACCGACTTTGCAGTACTGACGTTTATTTCTTTGTCATATCAATTTTTTTTGGCTCCATTTCAATCCCACTGTTCTCGGATGTATCACACAAACGTATGTTCTAAAGTGGGGCTCAACTATACAAACCTGAGATTGAAGAGGCTCACTCTCTGCAGTGCCAGCTGAGCTGGTATGAGGATTGTGAAGCCCCTTTTCTCCTATGAGGAAGGGATAATATTTCATAGAATTATATCCTTTATTTGTAGAGCAATAGGGACCCTGAGGGTCATCTAGCTTGACATCCTGTGAGGGGAAACTGCCTACACTAAATCTGGTGCTGCATGCGATTCCCGGTCCAATTTTGAAGCCATACCAGACCCTGCTTAGCTTTGCAAATGTGCTAACAGTTTTATTGTTGTGCTGCTTGGAGTAGCAATGTGACTGGTGCTAAACTTCACACCAGCACCCATACACTGATTTGATTCACTGTATTTCTTTGTCACTTGTAGTTAAAGTGAATCTCAAAGCACTGCGAGCCACACCCACACCCTGTGAAGGAAAGGGTTGCAGCGTCTGGGGTTTCTCAGTTTAGAGAAAAGGCAAGCAATAGAAGGACAGCATGAGGGAGGTTTATAAAACTGCTTGGGGCATGGAGAAAGCAGACAGAGGAAAAGCCTCCCTCTCTCTCAAATGAAACACTTGTTTTATATTATTTATAAAGTTTCCCTTTACCTGAGAATCACAGGGTAGTTTTGCAATATTAAAAACCCCCATGAAAGTGTATAACATAATAAATGAAATAATAACGTCCCTGAAGCTGGGGTATTGGTTAGTGTTTTTTTGGGGGTGGGTGGGGAAGTTGTTGCTGTTATTGATATTAATTTCTGGTATCTTTATTGTTGGTCTTTATGTGGAAATGGTTTGGTTTGGTTGTGTACTTTTTGAAGTTTTATTTGTTGTTTGTGACTACTTTTGCTATGTAAGTCTGTGGTGCTATGGGTCAGTGCGTCTGGCTGTTAACCAGAACGCTAATGTGGACTTGACGTGGAACAATCAGTGTTGCAAGGACATGTTTTTGATAGTTTCCACAGCAGAACCACACTGCAGCTTGCACACAGATATACACACCAATATTTAAACAAAGACACTCTGCTAAGGTCTGTCCCTAACTGGGTGAGGAACCACATGCATAAATACATTTTTTCGTATATAAACCATTCCTCATACCTGCTGTTGGATTTATGCATGTAAAAAGGGAGTTTCAAATGAACACCCTGGGGTTGTTGTTTTTTTGGAGGAGTGCTGATTGGTCCAGGATCACCACAGAAAGAATACATCTGTATGTGCAGAGCACATGTGAGGGCAGCTGTCAGATGCAACCTTGTCCACAGGTGAAGGATGTTCTTGTTAACATCCCTAAACCGATAGAAATGCAGGAATTGTACAAATCAGCTATTTGGGAGGGGGTGTTTCACAGGCAAAGAGGAAGTGATCATCGTGATTAATGTTTTTATAGCATGTTTCTATGCTGTGGATTTGGATTGGCGTTATCATTGCTGCGCTTTTGAGAACAGAGCTCTTGGTGTGTTAAGTTCTACATATGCAACCTGAGGCAAATTGCTTAGTGATCTGTTTCTCTTATGAACAGAGCCTTTGAGTATGTATACTCAAGCTCTACTGAATTCTATGGGAGTTATTCCCAAGTAAGTTTCATAAGACTGCAGCTTAAAGTTCTTCATTCACACTGAAAAGATGTTTTGATGCTCATATGTTGTTAACTGAAACTGGCTGCTAATTTGCAGGGATACTTTTATCGCCTCCTTGGTCATTGTCACACATGCATGCAAATTCATGTGTGTGTGTGTGTGTTTGCCTACATTCAGCTGAATATGAATGTTTGGTCGAATCATTTTGCTTCATAGTGCTCTAGAGGCTACCAGACTTCGTCTGTGGCAAATGGCCAGAGGGAATAAATTCCACAACTGGAACACTGTAAAACATGCTAATTGTTCCCTCAGTATTTATAAAAGTAAAGTAAGGGAGAAAACCATGTGTTGTATGTAGGAAATATTCTTTCTGGTTGGCAGGGAAAAATGGGTTGTTACTTTGTGATCAGGACTCTATTTTCTTCAATTCAGCCTGCATAAAATTTCATAGACAATCCAAGAACTGGTACAGGCTTCTGAGATCCTTGCCTTTTAATTACAAAAAGTGAAACCTAATCCTTAAAAACTTGCGTTATATTACATTTGTTAGCCTTTCAAAGATTTCATATGGCCTTGGTTTAAAATACAGTTTTTGCCAAAACTTCTGCTGTTAAGTGTTCTAGAGTTTGTAACTTGTTCATCTCTAATGTCCTCGTGTTGTGTTCCCTCCCCTGCTGTTCACCATTTATACGTGCATTTTCCTTCACACAGTTCCTTCTGGAAAAAGAAATTCAAAATTCATGAGAAATGCAAACACCGAGTCCCTAATTGAGTTACATTATGAAACCTAAGCATGCTTACATTAAATTTTTATTCATTTTGAACTCAGAATTTGCCTTTCCTTTGTGCAGAACTTCAGTTTTTGATGTTTCTTGTGCAGAAAAGAACAGTGCTACTATGGTCACTTAGTTCAGTTGTTATGCCAAACCGTGGTTTGCACTAACCATGCACTAAAACCCAAATCATAGTATGGGCTTCCAAGCAAATGATAGGTAAACTGTGGTTTAGATGCTTGTCTCTTTTCTCTGTTTGGTCACCCATCTTATCTTTAGTTGCAGTGTCTTTGGTGGAACAACAGTCATAACTATGGTTTATTAATTCAGACGTCATGCCAAACCATAGTTAGCACAAATATTAGATTTGCAAACAATGTTTTTAAATTCTGGTTGCTGGCTCATTAGCTAACCATATTTTGTTCAGTCAAAATATCAAACCAAACTTTCCTCAAACTTCCTTGCCCATGATCTAGCATGATGTCTGAATTGAGCCACTGACAACATATGAAGCTTTGAGAAGAGGCAGGCAGACTGATAAAACCATTGCCCTCATCCTTGTGGCTTCCTTACATATGAAAAGTACAGTCAAACCTCGGTTGTTGAATGTAATCCATTCTGGAAGCCCATTTGGCTTCTGAAATGTTCGACAACCGAGGAGCAACTTCTGGTTGGTTGCAGGAGCTTCCTGCACTCAGCGGAAGCTGCGTTGGACACTCAGCTTCCAAAAAACTTGAAAACTGGAGCATTTACTTCTGGGTTTTTGGCGTTTGGGAGCCAAAATCTTCCAAAACAGAGGCGTTCGGTATCCGAGGTTTGACTGTACAGTATTCAAATAGTAACTAGAAGTGAAATTCCCAATTCCAATGGAGGCGTGTGTTTTCTTGGATTAAGGATACAATAGAAAACAGTGTGAAGAATCTGCTTACTTTTACCAACTTCAGTGTTTCATATGGTATTCATGCAATAGAGTTGTCACTGTTATAAAATGCTCCTGAGTAATGGCAGTTTCCTTTCTTTTCCAGAGGCAACATGCATCACAGAGATGTCATTAATGATGGCCTGTTGGAAGCAGAATGAGTTCAGTGATGTAACTTGCGCCCAAGAGATCCAGACATTCTTCAACTGCGCTGCAAAGGCAGAAGTAATTATGTCCCAATTTATCCTCTAATCAAGCTGCAGGAAATTAGTTTCCATACATAATTTGAGCATGTAATACCACTACAGATCTCCGTTTATTGTGTTTGTATTATCCTGGGAGGCAGGTCCGTACATTGTAATTGCATACTGCTGAATGTTAACCTGAATGTGTGAAACTGGCAACAGTGGTGGTTTAGCAAATGGTAAGCATATTTGCCCAAGACAGTATAATGCAAAGGTGCAACCCAGATAATACAGCTTTAAAAAGATATGGTGTGCTGGTTAATGATGTGAGAAGTTTGAATATGTGAACTTGCCATTAGGACCCCTGCATGGAGATTATAGGTCCATCACATACCAGGTGTCATTGAAACTAATGAAATCGCTACAAAACTAATGAGGTTAAGGCATTGGTTACATCAGGTGATATGCTATTGTGTGGCTGCATATTTTTAAAATACCGGTGTGTGGCAGATGGAATTGCTTCTGCAATTGTTGAAACATCTTATTTCCTATGGCATCTGTGGTTTCATATCTGTTTATTATTAATTTTAAAGTTCTCATCCTGCTTTTTAAACACAAGTTTCAGAATAGTTCATCGCAAAAATGTCCAAAACAATAAGAAAATATATAGTTGAAACAGAAACAACCAAACATAAAAAATACCTGAAAAAGAACAGCTGTTTTTATTAGCAACTTTTTTCTGTTTTATATTTCTTTGGTTCTTGACTTATCGTGGGCAGTTTTGAGCTTCAGGAAAAATTGGTGATAGAAATTGCAAATAGCTGGTGCAGTCTGCACCAAACACGGTCCTGTTCCCTTCAAAGGGCTGCCAGATTGTTAACAGGGCTGCATACATGTGACTCCCATTTTGAAACAAATGCCTACAAGCCTGTCCACCCATTGGGATTTGGCATAATTATTACTGTGGCTGCATTATATTTTTACTGTTGTTCTCAATGGTTTATTTTTTTGTAATAACATATTTTAAATTTAAGTGATGGCCTGGTTTTGTTAGCTTTTAATGAGGAAAGTCAGGGTATAGATATGTTAAACAAGATGTACTATGTACAATCCAATTTGGAAGGAAAGAAACCTCCACTGTATAGCAGAGGAATATGGCCTTGTGTGTTAATGGACAACAGCAAGGAATTCATGTTTCAGGTAAGCTATAGAAATGTAAAAATCCCATGAGAGTTCTTTTTATAAACAAATATCAGTGTGTTCCCCAGTTTATAACTTTATGATATCTGGGGTGCTTCTGCTGTGCACTCCATGCCTGAAAATGAGATTGATCAAGTATTTGACTTCTCAACCAATCCAACCAGTAAAATATTGGCTAAGCATGTAAATTTAGAATCCTGTACACAGTTCCTGGGGTTAGTACTTTTCAATTTGTTTGGGCATATTCCTGAGTTGATAAGCATGGGATTGTGCCATTTTGTATGACTGTAAAATAGAGAGAGATTGAGAGACTTAAAGCTATCACTGCTATACCAATATAAATTCATGTAAACAATATTCAGGAAATTGCCCAGTTCTTCTTGATTTTTTTCTACAACACCTGAGTCACAGTCATTTAAAAAAAAAAATTCAAGACAAGTTGTTTTTAAATGTGGTTATAGCTGTACATCAGGGCAAGAATTGCCTTCCCTTAAATTAAACAGGGAGTACAGTGATACCTCGGGTTACAAACACTTCGGGTTACAAACGCTTCGGGTTACAGACTCCGCTAACCCAGAAGTAGTACCTCAGGTTAAGAACTTTGCTTCAGGATGAGAACAGAAACTGTATGATGGTGGTGCAGTGGGAGGCCCCATTAGCTAAAGTGGCACCTCAGGTTAAGAACAGATTCAGGTTGTTCAGATTCCGGACCTCCGGAACTAATTAAATTCTTAACCAGAGGTACCACTGTAAAGGACTCTTATTACTGCCTTTGCTATGAAGCAATGATGCAGTTTTCAAAAGTAGGCCACCACCTACACAAGGGCATTTTTTACTTTGTGGAATATTTGGCTGCAGGCTTATAATAGTGGACTTTTATCCCAACCTTGTTAAAACGTGTAATGAGACAGATTAAGTTCCGTTTCCATCTTGCATGTAATAATCATTCCCATTGTGCAGGGGTGACTTTTGAGTGCGCCCCCCTGTGTCATTAAACCATAAATTGCAAGTAACCGTGAGGGCATGTGCCAATGTAAACAAGCTTCAAGAAGGAAGAGGATGCCCGGGAACCATGGACCACAAAACAGAAAGTGTACCTGCCAGTGTTTTTCTTAGGGTTCAAGGACTACAGTCAATCAAATTGCTTCGAATCACAAGTGTTTTGATATAATACACATACTCTATAGTTACTTTGCCAAGGCTTCTGTTTTGTGAGTTACACTTATTCTTAGAAAAATATGATCCTCCCTTGTTGCTGCACAAGCCACTCATATCAACAGGAAACTGACTAGACGCAAAATGTGACCAAGTACATTCTAATAACATCTTAAGGATATATTGTCCTCCTATTCCTAGTAATTGATAGTAAAAGTCCAGCTCCTCTTCCTTGACTGTAATATTTATCATTTCACTGTTTCAAATAACTTGAGTTACCACTGGCTTCTGAATGCAGCTCTCTCTAATTGTCCAGAGGTTGATGCTTGCAACATTGGGAATATTGCTGGGATTTGTGCGTCAGTTTAATAAATATAGGAAATTGTTTCTGTTCTTTTCAGGCAGAACGCAAGCAAAATCTTCGACAAGAATCTCTGGGCCAGTCGGGGAAACTTGGTTCAAAACAAATCAACAAATTACTGAAAAGGTTTCCAAATATCACATACAATTATTGAAGAGAATTGCTTCCCCAAGTATCTGTGAATTTGAAGAAACTCACCGCTTGTTGGTCATTCTCTTTGAAATGGACGGGAAATGTTTTCCTGCATTTCATACTGTTTTTTGGAATAAAACTTCTGTTGAGATAAGATGAAGACCTAAAGTTTCCTTGGATACCAAGAGAAGCTCCAGCAGTTATTCGACCAGATGAACTTTTGCTTGAAATGTTCTTCAGTTAGCATCAAATTTGAGTCATCAGTGAAATAAAATCTTTTGTGAAATCCTATCTGCTATTAAACTTTCTTTTTAAACTTTGGCCACCAAACTGCTAAACAGCAGCATCCCATAAGCGTGACCCTTGCAGCTAAGAGTTCCCAGTATGACCATGGGTGGTGGTGGGAGGTATTGTGAGTGTTAAATTATTGTAGGATCACACAAAGATAAAGCTCAGAGTCTTTTTCATAGTGCCATCTGTGTGCCACCACCAGAACATCGGCCTCACAACTAGGGAACTTCCTTATGGGAACTTCCCAGTCTAACCCTGACCCTGATTTTCAGTGGTGGATAGGAGAAAGTTGAGAAGCAGGAGTGCTTTAAGGGGAGTGAAAATGGATTGAGTTCTCTCTACAGTGGTGCCCCGCAAGACGAACGCCTCGCAAGACGGAAAACCCGCTAGACGAAAGGGTTTTCCGTTTTGGAGGCGCTTCGCAAAACGAATTTCCCTATGGGCTTGCTTCGCAAGACGAAAGCCCATAGGGAAATCTCCGGGACAGTGGGGAAGCGCAGCGCGTCTTCCCCACTGTCCTCGGACCTCCTCCGAAGCCTGGTGGCGGGGCGGGGACACCTCCTCCCGCCGCCCGGCTTCGGAAGGCTGCTCCGAAGCCTGGCGGGGGGGGGCGGAGAGGTTTTTTAAAAACCCTGGGACAGCGGGGGACTTCTCCGCTGTCCGGGGCGATTTTAAAATGCTGCCGGGCGGCAGCACTGCCGCCCGGCAGCATTTAAAAAAACCCGGGACAGTGGGTTTAAAATCGCCCCGGGCGGCGCGTTTCTCCGCTGTCCCGGAGGGCTTTTGAAGGCAGGCGGGGGGAGCAAAGACTTTCGCCCCCCGCCCGCCTTCAGAAGAGGTCCTGGACCTCTTCTGAAGGCGGGCAGGGGGCGAAAGTCTTTGCTCCCCCCTGCCTGCCTTCCCAGGGGCTTTTAAATCGCCCCGGACAGCGGAGAAGTCCTCCGCTGTCCCGGGGCAATCTTAAAATGCCGCCCGCCAGCATTTTAAGATCGCCCCGGACAGCGGAGAAGCCGGGTTTTTTAAAATGCTGGGGGTGGGAAGAAAAGCCCTTGTCCCCCCCCCAGCCTTCAGAAGAGGTCGGGGGACAGACTGTCCCCGGACCTGGTCTGAAGTCGGTTTCCATAGGAACGCATTAATTGATTTTCAATGCATTCCTATGGGAAACTGCTTCGCAAGACGAAAAACTCGCAAGAAGAAAAAACTTGCGGAACGAATTAATTTCGTCTTGCGAGGCACCACTGTATTCTGTCCATAGAATTTGGCAGTTCTTAGAATCCGTTCCTGGATTCCATTCACTTATGAGGGCAAAACCCTCTCCCTGCTCCCTGATTTAACACTTCTCTACTTTTTCTCATAAAACTTTTAACTTCGGTTACTAAAAGTATTGCATTTAAGGGTGCTGTGTTTGCTGGGGACTAAAGGGAAGGTAAAGCCTCAAAATATGCTTGAAGTGAAACAATTTTATGCTGTATTGCACCCAACACTTTTCAGCATGCTGCCTTCTGAAGGGTCACTAACTAATAACAACAAAGATTACTTTGAGAGATTGTGTGTGGGGGGGGGGTTTAGTTAGATAAAAAGAATCTAATTGCATTTTAGGCGGTGGTGATGAAAGACTTGTGAGTATACGACTTCAGTTTTTGCTAACTGCTACATTTGTTCTTTGTCATGTTCTATAGACCTTTCCTTTATTTGAAACTAAATTTGCAGAATGCTAAATTCAGTTATCTGACCTTGCAAGTGACTTATGTTCTGATAAACAGTTACATTTTTTTTATTAAGGCATTCTTTTGTTTAACGTTTTTGTTTTAACCAAAGAATTTAGACTAGATTATATTTGGAATTCTTCTCTCTTCTGGATATTTCCTATTTTCAACAGTGTAGATGATATACACCAGGGGTGGCCAACTCCCAAGATACTGCGATCTATTAAAAACTGGCAGTGATCTACCCCCGTTTTTTGCGGGGTTCAGGTCAAAGTTGAGCTTTTTTCAGGGAGGAGGGTAGCCATGTTTTGGGGGAAGGAAGAGGACAGCCACTCACCAGCAGACCAACAGATCGCTGGGAAAGCAAAACAGCCTCACTGAGTAAACTCCATCTTCCGTTCTGCAGATTGTGCCACAATGAAGGCCAGGGCGAGGGGGTGGCGCAAGCTTCTAATTTACCAATGCTGAGGAAAGGGAGCCAGCGATCTACCAAAACCTCCAGGGGATCTACCAGTAAATTACGATGGACCTGTCGAACATCCCTGATATACATCATTTGTTTATGTGGTTGGTGGAATATGTAAGGTTATTTTAATGTTCAGTATTCTTATTTTTGTCCTTTTTATTACTGGTCTTTGTGCTCCTGAGGAACACATGTTGGGCATATTGCATTGTAAATTGTTTGGGCCTTATTTTGAGGCTCTCCCTCCTTAAAATATTTTAAAATTTACAACCTTATCATATATGTAATAATAGCAATAGTAACATGACAGTAAATGGTTAAGGGAGCAGAACTTTGCTCCCTGGGAGAGTGTCTGAGGACCGTAGGATGTTGAGGACCTCCCTCTCTGTGGGTGGAGAAGCAGATCTGCCAGCAGATGCACATGAAATGGCTGCAGAGACTGGTATGTTGGCAGCAGATCAGAGGAGGCCCCTTCCTTCTACTGACACACATCCAAAAGCGGCAAAAGCAATAACAATCCTATACCAGCCCGGGAGCTGTCAATGGGATGGGAAAAAATTAAAACAACAAATGGGAGAAAAACTCGGAAAAAGCTGTTCCCACACCTTCCCACAGTCACCAGTATGATTGGCACGGCTTAGAAGGAAGTGATTCCTTCACTACAGACCTTAGGATTGTTCTACCCAAATTCAAACAGGGGAACACTATTAAGCACAAAGACACAAAACTGGAGTACATACAGAGTTAATATGAATACATTGTTCTGGGTTTCCTGACCTGAGTAACACTTTGATACTTAGCTGCCAGTGTCTGAAAGGCAATCAACTTAACTACTGTTAACTACTTTCCATGTTTCTTAAAACTATTTCAGTTTATTAAGCCATGCCACACCTTTCTTGGTCTCAAAAGTGACTTCAACAATCTCCCAAAAGGTCTTCTAGCTATGTAAACCAGATCCCTGGTACATCTCACCACTGATTATACACTGAAGAAGATCCAGTCTGGGAACCTCAGACTTTTCTAAATATAACATCTGGTTTACAAAATCTTGCAAAATTTCACCACTCTCCTGCAACCCTGCCAGATCTAGTAGAAAATTTCCATTAATTGGTTGACAGGGCTCTCTCATGTCTTATACGGTATATCCCATCTCTCTCCTCCCCCCCCCCCCCGCCATGATATTTCTGATTCAAGATTTCTTTTTTTTAAATAATATTTATTAAGAGTTTCAAGATTACAAAAGAAAGAAGAAAAAAAGAAAACAACAACACTACAATACATAAAAAGTAAAAGAAAAAAGAAAAAATACATAAAAAACCCCAATACAACAACACGACCAGGAAAAGAAAAAAAATACAAATCCCTTTTTACATATCTTTACCTTTCATTTGCTTGTTTCATTAACCTCCTCACACCTCCCTTTTTGTATTCTAGCTTAATTAGTTGTTTCAGCAAATTCTTTCCATCTTTCTCAATTTTTATTAAATAATTTATCTTAACAGTCTAACCTATTACTTAACTCAGCAGATCCTTTCCTTCTTTCACCATATTCTGTTATTCAATTTGCCTCAATTTATTTAACCTTATCTTACCGTAAAATACCTTAAAGCTTAAAACTTAATACTTATTTATACATAACTCCTTATATCATTTCTACTAAAGCCAGATAGTTTCATTCCAACATTTTCCCTAATATTCATTAATTTACACTAATTCCCAATATAACAATTTTTCTTTATAGACTTTCTTCCAATCTCCATCCAAGGTTTCTTTGCTTTCAAAAGTGTAGCCAAAATGGCACCCTATATGCACAATAAATAGGAATCAACTGACTTGGGGTAACCCTGAGGGTTTTTATTTATTTAATTAATTTTTTAGTTGCTTTATCCTGCTCAGGGCAACCCACAGTGACTTAAAACCAGACACACACACACACACACACACACACCCCTAAATACATTAAAGCCTAGAGGGGGAATGCATTAAAAATTATCACACCCACTTGTAAAAGGCCACATATATAATGAGGGTGCCAGGTGAGCCTCCCTGGGGAGAGCATTCCAGAAAGCAGGGAGCCACTGCAAAAAAGGCCAGTTCTCATGTTGCCACCTTCCTCTCATGGAGAGGGCATGCAAAAAAGCACCTCCGATGAGGATTGCAGGGTCCGGGTTGGTTCACTTCGCATCTGGCTCTGTTCAGACAATGACATCTGGGCCCTTCTTAGCAACAGAGCAAGACTTATTTCTGTTTGCACCATGGTATATTCTAGGGGTGGCCCTCCAGATGTGGCTGGATTTGTGCTATGCTGGCTGGGGTCGATGGGAGTTGTAGTCCCACAGCATCTGGAGGGCCACACATTCTCCACCCTTCCTACATTCCCTATGCTAAAGGTAGTCAATATTTAAAATGCATCAACATGCAAATGTGGCTAAGAATAGGATTCCCTGCCTATCAACTATTGAGTCAGCCTTGTAATGGGTGGAACAGATTTGGGTAATGCTGACAGGACAAACAAGCTGTAGGGAACAGGTACGTAACCATCCCAATTTTTTATTTGCTTCCTGTAACCAGAGCTTCCTCGTGTGTTCATGATGAAGGAGTATATCACCCCAGCACTGAAATCTCCTTCTTCCTTTGTGAACCATACTAAATACAATCCGTGAGGACTTGCCAAGGTTATTTCTGTACAAATCCATGCCCCACCCCCCCTTGCCATGTCTCACTTCTGAAGGCAAGCAGAGCCTGCTGCTAATTAAATGATTGCAATTCCTTGGCCAGACACACTGCAGTAGAAAACACCCAAGAGAAACCACTCCCTTCTCTTAGCAGCAGCCCCTGCAATTAATTCATCATTTGACACAACTGCATTAGACCTTGGTAGCAGTGGCAGAAACAAGGCACTAGGCAGGGTACTGGGAATCAAAAAATGAGAGGTGCCATTGGGAGGATGTGTGCACATTTGAGAGCTGCGTCAATTCAACCAAAAAGTTCTTGTTTGTTTAAAGGAGAGCTTGATGTTTTCATGGAACAAAATGAAATGAATCACACAGGGTTTTGTTGTTGTTGTTGTTGTTTTTTTAAAAAAAAGGTTGATTGAGGTGGGGTGAAGAGAATAGGCAGGAAAATCTATCTCTCCTTGCCATTTTTTATTCTTTATATTTTTTCTTCTACCATTGTTTGGAATACAGTCTTCCATCAAATCAAAGAGGACTCAAGATGTATTTATATCAATTGCTGTCATGCTTAACAATAGTTTAAGGGAGGGGGAAATATACTAAACAGCATAGCCAAATTTAATACATAGCCACATCTAATACATAGAAATTTAAATGGTCCTGTATCTATTCTCCCCTAGCTGTTAAAAACTAGGCGGTACAATATATTATTACAATGCTTCCAGAGGACATATGATGGAAGGCTGACAGACTTTTAGAAAAGGAGTTCAGTTCATCAACTGTGGAGCAGCCATCAAAGATTCCTCCTCACATGTTCTGCATGTTTGAATGCATGGCACAGAAAAGGGAAGGTTGGTCAGAAGAGTCTTCTTGCCAAATATTATCAGAACATTCAAGCAATCTCAAGTGTGCTCACTAAATGATATAACTGATGCACCGGCATTTCATGATCAACAGTATCAGAAGCTGCAGAAAGACCTACCAGAATCAGTAAGGTTGAGTTGAGTTGTTGAGTTGAGTTGAGTTGAGTTGAGATCTGTCTGTCTCGGGAGGCAATGGAGGAGCGTGTTTCTGAAGGTGAAGTCAAACTGTTGGGAGGTTGCAGCTCCTGCTGTGGCTGTACAGACTGATATGGGATACGGGAGAGATATGTTTTGTTGCAGCTTGGGCAGATGAAAGCGTCCAGTTGTGCTGTTGCAGATGCACCATGGCGTTTCTTCTCTCTGCGCTCCTCCCAACAGTCGTTCCTCCTCTGGTCCCTGCTGCGGATTCAAGACCTATCTGTCTCCAGGCACTGTGGTCCTCTGCAAGGGATTCCCACATGGCAGGGTTGATGTAACCAGCCTTCATGTCATGTTTGCAGACATCTTTGCAACACAGAGTTGGTCTGCGAATGGGCCTGGTGCCTGAAGCCAGCTCTCAATAGAGCATGCCCTTGGGGACCCTGCCGTCTTTCGTTCTGTGAACATGACCAAGCCAACATAGACAGCACTGATACAGGAGCGTGAACGTGCTGGGAATGTGGGCTTGGAAGAACATGTCAGGGTACAATCATTCCTATTAATCCCTAGGCAAGGACTGGAAGCCATGAACCTAGTCAGTGCCACAGTGAGGCTGAAAACCAGAGTGGCATCTCATTAGACAGTGGGTAGTATCCAGAGACGTTTTGAGCTGGAGAGCAACCACTCAGTAACCTCACCTACAAGTGGAATGAAAGAACTAGGTGAATAGACAGCTAGAAAGTCTGAATCCTGACTAGCTAGTTAGGAAGTAGAGCTTTTGAAGAAAGGCCAAATAACTCTGGATTGAAGCTTGTCTGGTGCTCTTCCCTCCCTCAGCAAGGCATTAATAGTTTCAGTCAACTGAATGCCAAGCCTCTCCCAGCTGGCTTTCACAAGCCAGGGTGGGTATGAATCAAATTTAGTTCTCCAGCATGCAAGATTTAAAAACTGGTAAAGGGACTGTGTGATCTGGGAGCTGCAGAAGTTGCAGGTTCATCACAATGGGCAGTAGATGTTTCAGTCTCCGAACCACAAGTTGCTGAGCACCTGGAACAGTTCTGCTGGGTGACACTTAGATCACAATGGTAATTGAGAAGAAGGGTTTATTCACCACTGATAGTATTTAAAAAAAAACCTATGCTGCCTGCAATCAGGTCTGTTTCAGTGCAAATCATATGCCACCTTGGGAAAGGATTGGAGCTCAGTGGGAGAAAATCTGCTTGGCATACAGAAGGTCTCGTGTTCAGTCCCCAGCACCTCCAGGTAGAAGTGGGAGAGACCCCCATCTAAAACCCTGGAACACCACTGATGGTCAGTATAGACCAGGGTTTCCCAAACTTTTTTTGGACTACAACTCCCATCATTCCTAGCTAGCAGGATCAGTGGTCACAGATGATGGGAACTGTAGTCCCAAAACAGCTGAAGACCCAAGTTTGGGAAACCCTGGTGTAGACAGTACTGAGCTACATGGACCATTGGTCTGACTTAGTATATGGCAGCGTCTTATGTTCCTGCTGTTCCTTCCAATAGGTCATCTGAGAAGGAGAGAATCCTGTGCCGACCAGAGGGAGAAAAAGCCTGGGAGTATCTAAGTCAATGGCCGATGTTAGTCTGCTACCACACAACGTGAGCCACAGAGGAGGGCAGCAGCAGCAACCAAGCCATTCTTCCTGCCACAAGGAACCACCTCCAAGCCTTAGTTCAAGGGAGAGACCTGTCAACTGAAGGAACTACAGATCAGCTTCTAATGCACCAATATATCGGTAGCATCATACAGAGTCTGGAGACTTTTGTCTGGGAATGCTCTCTGTGTGAAGCTTTTCCTAGGCAGGGAGGGAGGGTGGGAAGCTGAGAAGAATATAGTCCAGGGCAACTTCAAGTAGTTGATTAAGCTGAAAGGATAAAGTCCAGATTCCTTCGAATCACTTTCAAATTCAAGCAGAGGATTTTGCTCCACTTGAATTATACTGTTGTTCTTCCAGTGGATAGCTCTGAGTTATCACCTTGCAGCTACCCTGGGAATTGTACTTTACCCCTAACAGAGATACCATTCTCAGCACCCTGAACAAACTACGGTTCCCAGGATTGTTTGGCAGCAGGGATTTGCTTTGAATGTGTTGTGTTTTTAAGGTACAGTGGTGTCCACAGCCACAATAATGGTAAGAAAATTAAAAGGATGTTGTCAGGAGGAGAGAAGGAGACCCCTGGTGGATTGATCCAGGTTGGAAGGGAGGAGGCCAGAAAGAGATGTGTATAAACTGTGCCAAAGAAAGAGCTTTGACAGCAAGAAAAAGGGGAGGGAATGGATTGGGAGAAAGCCAAGAAGAGGGGGAGGTAGGAGAGAGAGAGAGAGAGAGAGAGAGAGAGAGAGAGGAACCAGCCTGGAAACCTAAAGGCTGCTTTCTGCTCGTCTACACTTGCCCCTTGTTATTTGCAAAGCTGGTTCAGAACTTCTGGATCACATGGTATTCCCTTGCTTTGGAGAAGGAAAAGAGAAGAAGGGAGAAAGAGGAAGGTGAGGCAGAGGAAAGCAAGCACCCCAGGCTGGTGTTGTTCCATCTTCCCCACCCCTTTGCTCTCTTCCTTGCACAGAGATGACAGGAGCCTCCTAGCCCCTGTGAAACTGAAGGGGGGGGGTGCAGAGGAGGAGCAGGAGGCCAGATGATCAGCTCAGCAGTAGAGGGAAAATGTGAAACATGAAGAACCAGCTCACTGTTTGTGGAAGGATGGTGCTGCTCCAAGTGTTCCCGCTGCTGCATTTGCTCCCCTGTCTTGGCTCTGTGAAGGTAGGAGATTTCATCTTCGTAGAATTAAGTCTCTTGGCTGCTTAACGTTGTGATGGAAATGTGGCTGTGAAAATGCAATCTGGGCTGCGCAGGCAGGTTTGCGAAAGGGGTGGCAAATGCTGCGGTCGGGGAAGAGTTGTGTTCATTATTTCCTTTCTCGTCATGAGAATATAGCCAAATTTAAGGGAATCCCGGTATTTTACACTGGTTGTTGGATTTTTTGATTATTATTTTTTTGTAGACTGCATGTCTTTCCCATGTTCTAAATGCTGCATTAGAGACTTGCTCTTCCAGTGCTGGTTGATTATGATAAATGGGTGTGTGGTCTGGACTCAGAAACTGAAAGTATTAGGTGGGTGTTAGAATGGTTAAAGGTATCTAACTCCTCTGTCAGTATTTTTACAATGGTGTGTGTGTGTAAGTGTAAGATAGCAAAGGAGGGTTTTGCTCCCCAACAGTTGTGAGTTGTAGCATCTTCATTCATGCTGGGCTAGGGTGGAGCTCCCTTAATCAAGCCCATCCCATACTGTCTGACTTGCCAGTACATACAGTGAATGCAAATCCGCTGGCTGTCTCATTTGTTCCTTTGCAGCAGATTCCCAGTTGCTGTAATTTTGGTTGCCTTTGGTTTGCCTACCTATACTATGAGGACTACAATAGTTTCCATTATGAAGAGCTTTGAAAAATTAAGACTCATAGAGGTCTACATCTTAAAAGTAGCATTTCCATGGAGAGAAGTATTATTTTAAGCACTCATTCTTTCCTGAAGGTGCGAGAATCTTTACAGGGACTAGTTTTCTTTGGGCTAGAGAGAGCCCTGGAGCTTCATAGCAAACATATATACAAACAGAGCCAATTGGAAACTAGTGGATTTCAAAAACAAGGCAGCACAACTAGTAATCCTACTTCAAATTGCGAAGAAGCGGAATGAGCTAACTCACACATCTCTTCCACCACACACTGTCTCCTCTCCCTTCCTCCCCCTGTTCTGATGGTTGTCACATTCCAAAGGCTGGAGTGAGTTTCTAGTCCATTAAGGATCACTTTGGTTGTGTCGCTGGGTTTATAAAGAGAAATCATAGCAATAGACCTATTAATGCTAGTAAGACAGCCAAACTCCAGTAAAACAAAATAGTATTTAAAACCGAATTTATGCTTGAGGCAATTAAAAAATAACAATGCCGTGAAATATGCTGTTATTCTAGAAAGCCAATCTGGTGTTTTGGGACACTTTGATTTCAGTCCACTGAATAATTCAAGAGGCTGACCATTGAGGTGGATTATTTTGGAGCATTTCTATCATCAGAGGACCTTCCTAAGTAGACAACATTGATAGTTACCCATAGTTTCATCGTTTGAATGCTGCAACTCAACTCTATGCACTCTTACTTGGGTTTGGGAGTTGAATTCAGGGAGGCATGCATACCTTTCCCCTTTCTTTCTGTGAAGCTCATAAGCAGGGATGCTCATCCCAGTTTGACATTTTAATTGAGCTGTCCATCATGATCCCAAGTTCTTTTCCCTCAATAGATACCACCATTTCAGACCACATCAGTATATATGTGAAGTTGGAATTTTGAACACTGAAAAGTTAACATACCTTGTTTCTCATTTTCCATGTTGTCCATTCATTCAGTTTGGAGAGATCCTTTTCTCTTTGCTGCTGCTTATGTACAAATGAAATGGAAATGGTACTTTATGAAATAGGGTAAATTGGGACAGGTGGTTTTGTGTTTGTGTGTGTTAAGTATATAGAGTCTGGAACTGTGAACAGTTCTTTGTCCAGTAGATGGTAGTCATAGAACATTTTAAAGCTTTGCAAGCTACTGAGTTGCACCAGCAGCCATTAAATCGAACATATGGAGATGATAGTGGAAATTCACATGGAACAAAGACTTGAAACAAGCAGTGCAATTTCAAGCAACAGTGGCTTTCAAAGCTGTGAAGGGTGTCCTTTCAGGGTTGTGTGTGGGACAGAGAGAGCTTGGCGCCTTTGGTTTGTTCTTCAGTGTCAAATAAATGCTGAATCAATCAACCTTGGTAATGAAGAAAAGACAGAAGTAAAATGATATGGTTATCTCTCTTCTTCAAATGGGATGCCACTGCGCTCTCTCAAAGTCTTCTTGAATCAGATACATGTCTCCTCCTCACCCAGTTAGCCAGATTCTCGCTGGTCTCACAGCAATTCCCCAGCAGCATAGATCATTTCCCCACCTGAAGAATCAGAAAGAGTCCTGTCCATCCCAAGGGCAGTGGGCTGCTCAAAAGGACACAGATTTGGGTTCATTCTCATAGGTCAGGGGATGGACTTTACCTGCTCAGCAGCTATGCCCAGCATATCATTGTTCAGAATTATAATGACTTCTGCCCCAAGCAGCAGGTTGGAATCTAACAATGAGCTGACCAGCCATATGAGCTGGACCAGCAGCACCAGAGCCAAAGATGATAAAGAGGACATGGACTCCAGTACTCTTTAGAGCTGTACAAATGAGGGAATTTTGCAAGTGTATTTTGTCAATATTAAAGGCATCGGAATATTGTCATCTTTGGCATCTGTCTACCCTATGAACACCCTGCCTGAGTCTGTTAGCTACGGACCTCTCCAGTGAGTGACCCCTGAATTGCGACTTCCAGAGATGATGATGATGATGATGATAATAATAATAATAATTTATTATTTGTACCCCACCCATCTGGCTGGGTTTCCCCAGCCACTCTGGGCGGCTTCCAACAAAATATTAAAAATACAATAAAACATCAAACATTAGAAACTTCCCTAAACACTGAGCCTGCAGCTTCTCAAGAAACCAGCCCCCTCCATGCCAAGGGACCCAGGCACCCTCGTGCCTGCCCATCAGTGCGGTTCACAAGCTGGGAGAAAACTAACAGCGAATTGCTAGGCTCTGGGCCAGAGGAATGCCTCTTTAAGGCCTTCCACTCCTTGCAGAAGGGTCTCATCCCAGGAACAAGATAGAAGATCAGTTGAATCCTAGCCCTCCTCAGAGCAAGTTGTTCACTGGGAGCTCTCCATGGTTCTGTGAGCCTGGACCCAACATGCCCTGTGAGCTTCCACTCGTGGTCAGATAGAGGAAGAACCGATGTGCAGGCTGTTCTAAGACTGCCTCTGAGAGGCTCCAGCAAATCTCAAGTTTGCATAAATATCCTGAAGCATGTTCTACAATTTATCCTCACTGTTTCCTTCAAGGCAGTGGGCTTATATTGTGGGACAGGACTCTGGGCTCCAGAAGAGTATACTCAGCCCATCCATTCCTCTGCCCTATGCTTGGACCTTATTCGTTTTCCAGCCAACAGCCAAGCAAAGCAGCTTAACTGAGAGGTGCTTCAAATTGTTGCCATTTACTGGGGGCAGTCCCTCATTTATGGTCACATATTTTTTTCCTTTAAGGGATGTCCCATTAAAATTTTGTTAGTGTGATTTTCCTGAATGATTATACTTAAGGGTCTCTCCAGATTCACTAGAACATGTGTAGGAAACCTTCAGCCCACCAGGCCATTTGGGGAGAATCAAGTCCACCATCCCCATGCTTAATGTCATTTGATGTCAGGTGCAAGAAAGCTCAAGCCATGTCTTCAAAGGTATAATCAGGAGTGCATTCTTTGCAGCTAAAATTCAGGCCTTTTTGTATTGGATTTCCTTTCTGCTGCTTTGAGCACCATCCCAGGCACAACACAATATTGGGCTGGAGAGGAGGGTTACATTCTGCGCTTCTGAGAATGATTCTAGCAGGTCCTTCTTGATTTAGTGGAAGGGAAAGCTTTGTAGAAGCATTTAGTATTCTGCTAAAGGGTCAGTGCAGGGAGGTCAGGGCAACAGGGAGGTGCCCTCTTTGGTGACCTGTTTTCTCTAAAAACAATGGAGAGAAAAACTTCCCTAAATTACAGAAGCAAGTACCAATGTGGACCATTCATTACTCTGTGGTAGGTACAACGATTACTCTTTCAGCTGCCATCTGCAGCCTCTCTCCACCTCTTCTCCCTGCTCCCAGAGCACTTACATAAACTCCAAGTATGGGTGAGCAGCCTTTCAGCAGCCCATGAGCAAAGCCCCTGCAGCCCAGCAATTATTCATCTAGTTGCTCCTAGGCAGAAGTGCAAATGGATGAAAGTGCAAATGGATGACAGCAAGGAGGGAGGCAGGCGACCCTGCGAATGCACGCGTGTTTCCACTGTGCTCTTAATGGGCTTCACAGCATTAGGGACAAAAATCTATGTTTATTTTATGGGATAATCATCTCTGCACGTTTGCTATTCCTTCCTCCCCCCCCTGCCCCCCACTCCCCCTTGCAGGCTTTCTTGGGATCCCAGCCCAGTCAGAATAATTTGCAGAACACAGGTAAGAATACAGCAGAAAATTAATTTAGGTATTGTTATCCCCTCTAATTTCGTCTTTGTCATTATCAACGTTCTTTCTGCAACCAAATCTGTGTGGTCCCATGCTGATCAGCTTGGAAGCAAAGCAACACCAAGGGGATGGATTCTAAAGGGACAAAATATATTAGTTTGTAAATTCAAATAAGGGTGGGGGGAATTAAATAGAAACATCTCAGCCAGGCCTACAGCATGTTGAGGGTGTTCGCTGGTTAATAAAAAAGGGAAATGTATGTGTGTGAGGGGGAGACTGGCTTGCTGGATAGAGAGAGAGAGTGTGTACCATGAGATTTAAAAGATTCTTCCTTCCTTGAACTCTGTGGAGAAACTTCAGGATGGGAGAACAGAACAGGGAAGAGGTGTGTGCTCCCTCAAATACTAATCCTCCATAGCCCCGAGAATCCACTCCTATCTCAAGGTCAGGTGAGCTGTGGCAGCGTTACCTAATGAGCAGAACTACTTCTGCTCCCAGGCAGGAAGGGAAGAAGTTCTCAGCCTTGGGCTTCTCCCATACAGCCACAAACTGGAGTGGAAGTCTTAACAAGAGTTCCTGTCGGCAAGGCCTTGCATTATGCAAACGTTATATAAAATATGCATACATTTGCAAAATTTATGCAGGCCAGACAGTTTAGCTTTTCATGGTGCAAAGCTTGGACCAGTTTTCCTTTTCTATTTTTTTTTCAACCCACCCACAGAATAGTGGGCACAGGCTCAAGAGAGAACACTGACCTGAAAGTTCCCAATGGAACCTTTACTGTGAAAAGGGGTAGATAAGTGGGTGGATTTAAAGAGACGGAGAACATGAATAAACATAGTTGGGAGCGATGATGAGGTTGTTTACTGGGGAGAAAGCGACAGCAGCTGCTTCCCCCACCTCATTGCCCACCTCTTCTGAACAGGCTGCTTCCCTGTTCCCCACAAAGCCTCAATTAGAAGGATGCTATATCATGATGTAATGTCGTTCTAGAGGCATTATTTGGGCTCTGGCGGGGGGGCACTGTCCCCCCCCCAAAAATGCCTCTGGAACAATGCTTGGACCATGCTACTGTCCAGCGTGGGCTGCCATTCCCAGGCCCTAGCAATGCTTCTTGGATGATGCTATGTCATGATCATAACATAGTGAAGCACTTCGAAGTGGCGATGATGAGAGTGCTAATAGAAGAATGCCACTTCCAAAAAACAAAAGGAGAGCAAGAGAAACTGCTGCCATCACGTGGGCAGAGGTGGGCAACCATGATGACAGTGGGTCTGGAAATCAAGACTTATGAGGAACAGGTTATATATATATATATATTTGAATAATTTTGTTTATAAAAAGATAGAGTAAAAGAAAAAGAGAGAAAGAAAAAAGCGAGTGAGGGAAAAAAGAGACAAAACAGTGTTACATTACCGTTCATTAATATACAGATGTCCGTATATTCTTATTATCCGATTGCCCACATAATTGTCAGTAACCTAATACATTCTGTGTAAGCTCATTCCAAATATCATTGTATTTATCCAAAGAAAGTCTGTGTCCTTAAGTTCATATGCTGCCAATGTTGTCAAGCCATTGATTAAGGGGAATTTTATCTCTATGCTTCCAGTTCGTCAGTTATCAGTTTCCTGGCCACCATTGGGGCATGTGGAATCCATTTTCGCTATCCTGTTGTCAAATTGTCATACAATGGAAGGAAATATTTACCTCTGGAATTCTCTCCCCGCCCCCCCCACAATTGTGTCTTGTTTGTATAGCTTATATAGGTCTCACGGGGAAAGAGTTGAGGGAGCTGGGTACGTTTAGCCTGCAGAAGAGAAGGCTGAAACGTGATATGACAGCCATCTTCAAATATCTGAAGGGCTGCCACATGGAAGAGGGAGCAAGCTTCTTTCTGGCTGCTCCAGAGGGTAGGACCCAAACCAATGAATTCAAATTACGAAAAACCAGATTCCAACTAAACATCAGGGGGACCTTTCTGACGGGAAGAGCTGTCCAACAGTGGAACGGACTCCCTTGAAAGGTGGTGGACTCTTCTTCCTTGGAGGTTTCTAAGCAAAGGTTGGATGGCCACCTGCCAGGGATTCTTTACCTGTGATTCCTAGGGGGGTGAACTTGATTATCCTTTGGCTCCCTTCCAATCCTACAAGTCTTTGATTAAACGAGCCTCCTCAATTTCTTGATGTTCTAAACTTTTACTTTTTGAAATGGCACATGTATGTGAAAAAGTAGCTCATTTCAAATTTTTCTAGATGACTACTTAGACACTTAAAAAAATAAAATCAAATGTCAAATTATTTCAAAAGCATTCTCTTTTTTGGTGCCTCTGCTTTGCTGGTGCCCTGAGTCCATGCTGAGTCTGCCGACTGAATAACCCAGCACTGCCAAAGAATATAAGAAGAGAGTGCTGGATCAGGCCAATGGCCCATCTAGTCCAGCTTCCTGTTCTCACAGTGGCCAACCAGGTGCCTCCCCTCCACCCCGCAAATGGCTGAAATGGCTCCGCATTTTGCAGGCCACAGAAAGAATGGGCGTTTTCAGCTCACCTCTACCTGCAGATGAGGAGCAAACCGAAAGATAATAACTTGCCTCTGGCACTTCTGCCTACTGTATTTTTCGCTCCATAAGACGCACCTGATCATAAGATGCACCTAGTTTTTAGAGGAGGAAAACAGGGGGGGGGGGAGAATTCTGAACGAAACAGTGGATGTATGATTTTTGTGGTTCATGCTGTGGCTACAGACATGATATGTGATTTGATGGTGAGTTTGGGGTAGCCCAATGTAAAAACCCTGAGAATCCATGTGGATCCGTGCCTTGTAACCACATTTTTGTGCCATTGCGGCCCCACGAAACAGTGGGTGCGTGATTTTTTGATGCAGGCCATAGCCATGGACATGCTATGTGATCTGATGGTGAATTTGGGGGGACCCAGTGCAAAAATCCTGAGGATCCATGTGCTTTTACCTCTCCCCCTCCCAAGCAGCCTCCTTTATATCTGGAGTCCCTTATCCCTTCCGATCGCTTGCCGATCTGCTGTTCAGCGGTTTTGTTTCAACACCCCCTTCCCTCTTTCTAAAAAAAAAAAAGGCATGGTCTGCTTTTCGTCCCTGGGCAATTCGGCTCCAGGAACCACGCATTCAATCCATAAGACGCACAGACATTTCCCCTTACTTTTTAGGAGGAAAAAAGTGTGTCTTATGGAGCGAAAAATACTGTAAGTTGTTCCCAGAGGCAACTTAAGCCAAGTTTTTCTTTTTCTCTTCTGCTTCCAGTATCTGGTGCATGTGAGATGGAGCCCTTAGGATATTACAACGGTTCGCTGTCTGTGACATTGTCTGGGTCGGCGTGCTTAAACTGGTTGGACTTTCCTGATTACGTTCATCAGTATCCAAACCGGGGCTTAGGGAATCACAGCTACTGCAGGAATCCAGAAGGTGGCGCCACGCCTTGGTGCTTCTACCAACTTGCCTCTGGAGCCATAGGCTGGGCCAACTGTGACTGCAGCCAAGGTGAGTACCAAGAGTGTCGCTGCCACTGACTCTTCTAAAGAGACGACTGCAAACATTATGTGCTTGGAGTGCTTGCAAGGTGGAAGGAACTGCTCGCCTCCCATTTAAGAGCTCAAAAGACCTGAAAGTCAATGGCTGCAAAAGAAGAAAGGATAAGGTTGAAGCAACAGGAAAAGTGGAGGAGGGTGGTCTCAGCTTTTGCCAAGGTGAAAATACTTTGATTCCTAAGAATCTAGGAACTGCCTCCCTTGTTTCTGCTGCAACTCTGGGTGTCCTTCTCTAGGAACCTGTTTTCATGGTTAGAGAGGCTCTGAAAATGGAGCCCCAAACTAAAAGAACTATTCAGGGTCTTTGCTTGACTTGCTTTGTTGTGTGTGTGTTTTGATGTGGGGAGATTGCCCTTAAACATTGCTCAGCCTTTTCAAAGATTTGGTGCAGTACTGTTTGGCTTCTCTCTGTTTTGATACAGGTGCCGTGCGACTGATTCAGAGTGGCAGGGTGGAGCTGTACTTCAATGGGCTGTGGGGCACTATCTGTGGGGATGGACTGGACAGACTGGGATGCCAGTGTGTCTGCAGACAGCTGGGACTCAGGTAGGGGGGTGGGGAGGCAGCACCTCTTTCTTATGCTAGAGCTGGAGACCATAATTCCCTTGATATTCTTGCGTGCAAGCCCAATTCCGAGCAGTGCGAAATTCCAGGGGTTCCAGGCGTTCATCCAGGGTTCGTGTTTCCTTTGGAATCAGGCACAGTGGAGACTGTGGGTTTCTTTATGATATATGGTTCATTTGCACCCAAAGTCTTGTTCTCTAGCCACCGCTGAACTCAACAGAACCCATTGCTAATATGTTGATCTCTTCAGTGTGCTTAGGTCACACCACATAGTGCAGGTCCTTTTTGGGGGCCTCCCATACCAGCCAGTCCCGTTGCGTCTCTATGATGATGTCCTTAATTCCGGTTTCAAAAACAGCTTCTCCTCCTCTGCCGCCACTCCAACTGTGTTGCTGGCTGTGTGTCACCATAACTGTCCAACGACGAGCTTGATGCTCTGTGCTGATCATCGGCTGCCTTGCCTGGAACTAACCATGAGTTGAGGGAGGGACCCCGTCCATTTGCCATCTCACACTGAACCCCTTCCTTTGTTTCCCTTAATGGCCCGTCACCCAGGTGATCACCTCAAACAGGAAGCTAGCCTGGCTGATATTTTAACACTTGCTGGATCCAGAGTTTAGAAGGGTTTCTGCATACAGTCTACTTCCTCCCTGCCCCACCCCCAAAAACTCATAACAATATTATTGAAAACATACATTTTACTCATTCCTAAACAGACAAAGAGACAAAGGCAGTCTAAATATATTAATTCCCACAACCCCAATGTGAGGAAAACCTGACCTTCAAGGATAAAGGGGCCACCGATGAATAGGGCAAGTATGGCAAACCAATCACAACTGGACAAATAGAGAGAGAGCTTCTGCCTCCCTAGAGTGGATTAACATTTCCTCCATAGGTGGGCTTAGGTAGTCTTCATTTAAATAAAGAGAGGTTCATAAAACTTGTAGCACTTTTCCCAATTGGGCTGGAGCAACTGAATGATCCTCTGAAACTCTCTTGCCTGTACATATCTCACCTCTTCTGTAACAATGCAGTTCAGTTCCATATGGGAGCATTTGCAACCTATTCTTAAGTCAACAATGAAGTAAAAACTGGATTGCTTATAGCATGTAAGAAGAAAATGTTGTATCTAAAATGGGACTTAATTTGTACATACACACCACTGTAGCACCAGCACCCAAATCAGCAACCCCCCTTCCATGCACAACTGTTTTTTACCTATTTTATCTTGCCAATAAAAATATACGGTATATCCACAGAATCCAAGCATATAAAGAAGAAGGCTAGGATAGAACCCTTTCCCACTGACACCCAGCTTCTAGCCGCAAAACTGGTTTCTTTTTAGTGGAGGAATATTCAGTCATGTGATATGCCTCCTGGTTCTTACCACATCAAAGAGGACCAGAACAGTGTTATGGTATTTTGTTGTTATTATTACTACGACTTTTAATCTCCATTGGACTTATTGCGTGCTCTACTTTCCGGCTTAGCGAAATTGGCACAGCCCAAAGGGAGAGTTCTTCTGGTTTGGGTCCAATACCCTTCCACCTGCAGTCCGCAAACTGCCGTGGGGATGAGAAGATGTTGTTGCAATGTAGCTACCAAGAGATGTTCAGAACCTGCAAGCACGGAAATGCCGTGGCCAAATGTGCCCCACCGCAAGGTAAGCCAGAGAATTAATTTAATTTTGTTTACTAAAAGTATAAGCACACCCAAAAGACCATTCCAGCCCTTTTAGCAAAGTGGCAAGCAACAAACCATCATTCTTAACAGTGCTCAAAAAGGCACAACACAGGTATTTTTGCCCAGGATGCACACGTGAACACAACTTGTGTATTTCATTGCCTAACCATTGTCTCTGGTCAAATAAGATTTTGAAGCATTATGAAAACCTGCAGACTCCATATACAGTGGTACCTCAGGTTATGAACTTAATTCATTCTGGAGGTCTGTTCTTAACTGGAAACCGTTCTTAACCTGAGGCGTGCTTTCGCTAATGGGGCCTCCCACTGCCGCCGCGCTGCTTTCGCATGACTTCCGCCTGCATCCCGGGGCAAAGTTCGCTACCAGGAGCATCTACATCCGGGTTAGTGGAGCTCATTACCTGAGGACGGTACGTAACCCGAGGTACCACTGTACTAGAACCAGCAGTAGGTTGATGCTGTGCACTCCCATTGCTGGTATTTGAAACCATGTACACTTGATCCCTATAGATCCTTTAGTTTCTTGAGGAATATTCTTGTTTGCTCTGATTATGGGTTTGCCCCCTTTCTCTTTTGTTACAGCAGTAGAAATATTAGGAGTATAATCCCTGAAGCAACGAGGTGTTCGTTGAACAAAAAAATAAAAATAAAAGGTTTTATTGTTATTGCTGAATGACTGTTGTCCTTTGCTACAAGGAGTCAGTTTCTATTTTACTTTCCATGTTCTTTCTTTCTTTCTTTCTTTCTTTCTTTCTTTCTTTCTTTCTTTTTGGCTCTCCCTTCCTGAAGAGCAGGTGTAGGATCTCCGCTTCGTCTGGTGGGGGGCAAAAAGAGCTTTGAGGGTCGAGTGGAAGTCTATCACGGTGGCCTTTGGGGCACCATTTGTGATGACCAGTGGGATGACAAAGATGCTGAGGTGATTTGCAGACAGCTGGGCTTCAGGTAATCTGCCAATGCCTCTACTTTATGTGGGGACATTTATGAACGCAAAGCTGCCATACTGGATCACATTTCTTGTGTGATGGTGAAGTAACTCTGTGGGTCCTTACGGTGTGCAATGTTTGTCTCCCTCCAAGCGGATCCCCAAAGGCCGTGTCTTGGGCTCAATTTGGACAGGGCTTGGGCCCAATCCTGCTGGATGAAGTGGAGTGCTCAGGCAATGAGCTTTCATTGGACCAGTGCAAGAAAAGTAGCTGGGAAGAACACAACTGTGACCACATTGAAGATGCAGGGGTAATCTGTGACCCCTTTGCAGGTATGGATGCCTCTGACACTTCTGCAGAGAACATGCGGCTTGTTGGAGGCAGACCCTCATGAACCCTTTATCTCATTGAGATGGCAAATAATTGGCTGCACTGTACCACTTCTGAGTGCTGGTGGGGACTCCCAGATTCTCTGTGAGTCTAAAACTAGTAAACAAAGGAGACCAGCCTAGCCTTCTCCCTGTTTTCTATATGCAGTAATCTGTTTATTTTGTAGGGTGATGACTTCGTTTAGATAAGCTCCCACCTACAGTCTAAAGTGGTTCAGCTCAGGCACGGGTTTCCTATCCCCAAATGCTGCAGTGTGCTCCCTTCACTATTCCATGATTCCTTATAGCAGTATATACACAGGAGCTTCTGTGCTAAACGCAGAGGGGGAGTAATGGAAAGCTGCTATAAGAAGATTGAAGTTGGGGAGGACTTGGATGATGTAATGAATGCAGGCTTGTTATCTCCTTGCCAGTTTCTGGCTGAAGCCTTTAGGGAAAACATGAATGAAATAATATGTGAGGGGGGGTATTGTTTTTGTCTGTTATTATGCTATGTATTTTGTTTTATATTGTACACTGCCCCACAATCTTCAGAGGTATAGATAATAAATAAATAAAAATATACTTCCAGCCTCTTTTGTGCAACTAGGGAGGTTAGAAACATGATAATATGAAAAGGAATAAAGTGGAGATTCTGAGATTTGATTTCAGTGCTGACTTCTCTTTCAAATGCAAAAAAAAAAAACCCAAACCTATCTGAGGCAGCACATTGTTGGTGTTTTCCAACTTATTTATTAACATATTATATTTGTGCATTTAATTTTCATTCATTTAAGTGCATGCATGAAACACAAGCTTAACTTGGTCTCATTAAAATAAACAGCATTTAAAAGTGTTTGACTTGGGCTTGACATTGTAGCTGCTGTGTTTTAATATTAAAGTCATTGTCATGGTTTGGAGTAATGAGGACCTCCTGGCTTTGCCCTACAGCAGAAGGCTATAGGGTAGGCATCCCCAAATTCGGCCCTCCAGCTGTTTTGGGACTACAACTCCCATCATCCCTAGCTAACAGGACCAGTGATCAGGGATGATGGGAATTGTAGTCCCAAAACAGCTGGAGGGCCAAGTTTGAGGGTGCCTGCTATAAGGCATCTAAGCTGTCTCTCTCGAAAGATTTATTGCCAAGAGACATTTCTTTAAGGTAATTGGGGGTGTTCACCTCTTGAACTGTGTGTAGTATTCAGGATCATGGGATGGGAGGGAAGGAATCTTCCTGCTTAATCACTTGCCTATCCTTCTCTCTCTCATGCTAGCAGAAGGTACTATTCGACTGGCAGGAGGCCACAAACCGAATGAAGGAAGGGTGGAGGTATACCACAATGGAAGCTGGGGATGCGTGTGTGATGATGGCTGGACAGGTATTAATGCCCAGGTGGCTTGCAGACAGCTTGGCTTCAGGTAAATGCAAGTCTAAATAATATTCTGTCTTGTCTTGTCTTGTCTTGTCTTGTCTTGTCTTGTCTTGTCTTGTCTTGTCTTGTCTTGTCTTGTCTTGTCTTGTCTGTTCTGTTCTGTTTTAGATTAGCCAGCTGTGTAGGTCAATTATGACAAACTAGTTAGCAGATCCCATGGTTTGCAAACTCACTTCAAACCACTGGTTCTGGTTTGCTGGCTGGCAAGGAGCCAGGGTTTGTCGTCTTAGTCACTGCACCAAACCATAGTTAATCTTCCTCAACTATAACTAGTTGCGGTGTCTGAATCAAGACAAAACCTTGCATATAAAAACTGACTTCACAATTGGAGAGCAACACACAACTCCTGATGATACCTTTGTGTATTGCCCTTAGTAAGAAGGGAAGATCTTGAAGAGTGTGGAAGTGGTGCAGATTTTCTGTTTTATACAAATGTTTAAATATGTTAAATCTCCAAAAGAAACAATAGCTCACAGAAAATATTTTTTTTTTACAAAATGTGCACAATCCTATGTATGATTAATATTAGGTTTTTTGCTATTATTATAATACCATGAACATACCCAGAATGACATAAGCAAAAAAGGCAAGTCGGTATACATACAGGGCATAGAATCCAGATTTTAGCTGTGAGGGTGAAACAGAGAAAAATGAGAGAAGGGAAAGCTAAAAATACCAAAGGATCCTGCCTTTAGTCCTTGTAAAACACACTGTTTTGTTAGAGTTAAATGAGAAACAAAGGAATTATTTATTCCTATACCTTCCCTTTCATACATACATACATACATACATACATACATACATACATAATTGTATGTCGCCTTTGCACAGTTCAAGCCATGCTCAAGGTAGTTTACAACATGAAAAAAAATGTAACTGCAACATAAACAGTAGTCATAAACAATAAATAAATAAAACATAAAAAATACGCCACCAATTTCCACATAAATCACAACAAGATCTATAATAAAGGTACAAAAACCAACAGCAACCCCTACCCACAACAAACCCTCCAAACAACGCCACAGCCCAAGAGTCTGTTCAGCAGCCTCAGCTTTTGTAGCTGGAGTCAGTCCTGGCCCTGCCCTTCCAGACCAGGTGGGGAAAGGCCTGCAAGGCAGAGAGCAGGCCTTCCAGGATTTCCAGTGCTTTCTGAGTACACTGTCAAGTATCTGCAGGGCCCTGTAAGAAAGTATAGCTACAGGACCTTCCTTTGCATTGATGGGTTCAAAGGGATATTGAGCCCTTTCTGGTTAAGACAGATGTTCTGCACAGGAATCCCTTGAGGAAAAGATCTGCTATCAACATGTTTCCTTGCTTCCTCCAGTGGCCCCGCACAGCTGGCAGCAGAGGGGGAATTTGCTTCTGGACAAGGCTTCATCTTACTGGATGATGTGGCTTGCACAGGCAGTGAGCTGTCGCTCTTTGACTGCCCGCACAGCAACTGGGGGCAGCACGACTGCTCACACGAAGAGGACGTGGGTGTCCACTGCTCCCCCGATAGCAACAGGATCACCGAAGAGGCTACAGGTAACTAGCTATGGATTCTCCAGGGCAGTGAGAGCTTGGTGCTGACGCAACTTTGTGCAGCACATTCCCTCGCTGGGAAATCCACTTGGATTCTGGGCTGTAGAGCTCAAAGTAGTTGGCCTTCTTTTATCCATTTACTTCAGGCCAAGTGGACATGATAGGGGTTTGTTTGTGGTGCCTCGCAAGACGAAAAGAATTTGTTCCGCGAGTCTTTTCGTCTTGCGATGTTTTTCGTCTTGCAAAGCACGGTCCGTTGCAACTGCGCCTCTTCAAGCGGCTTTAAAAAAAAAGCGCAAGACGTTTTCGTCTTGCGAAGCAAGCCCATAGGGAAATTCGTCTAACGAAGCAACACAAAAACGGAAAACCCTTTCGTCTGGCGAGTTTTTCGTCTTGCGAGGCATTTCGCCTTGCGGGGCACCACTGTACCTTGTTCACACATCAGAGGGGCAGGATTTAATTTTTACATTAAAAGGGGTACACACGCGAGGGACACTGAAGCCTCCTCTCCATTGGTAGAGGTACTTTTCTTGGATCCTGGCTCTAATCGCAGCTGGTCTGCGAGGAAAGTGAGAGAACAGGAGGGAGGTAATATGGCGGGTGGCAAGGCTCGGTTTGTTTCTTTCACATCCTCATTTTGATGTTAAGAATTAGGTGCACACCCACCCACTCCATCCCACATGTGAACAGGACAAGTGAAAGCGTCGCATCTTGTTTGGCTCCTAGAGAGTGTACCTGGACCTGTTCTTGCTGTTAGTTTCCCTTTAGCTGTTGTTGGCGCTGTGGGTTAAACCACAGAGCCTAGGACTTGCCAATCAGAAGGTCGGTGGTTCGAATCCCCGCGACAGGGTGAGTTCCCGTTGCTCGGTCCCTGCTCCTGCTCACTTCAAGTTACTTAAAAAGGGACTAATAAGTTCAATAAATTATAATAAACAACAACAGCTCTACTATATTGCACTATTCAGTTGTCTTCTTTCTTTAGTGTGTTCTAAACAGTGCCCTTTTTAACATGCAGGGATCCCTGTGCGGCTGGTGGATGGGAACGGCACCAAAGAGGGGCGTGTCGAGGTTTTCTTGAATGGACAGTGGGGCAGTGTCTGTGACCATGGCTGGACAGATAGAGATGCAGCTGTAGTTTGCAAGCAGCTGGGTTACAGGTAATTGATTCACAATGTATTGTTTAAGGTTGGAGGGTAGAATATTCAAAGTCCATGGTCAACTGCTAGTTTTGCCTGATGAAGCTTTTAGAAGGGTGAAGCCTGCTATGCCTCCCCCCTCAAATCCACAGGTGCTTATTCATACCCCTCTTTTGCCTCTTGGGACTTTCAAGTGAGCTCTGTTCCCTCATTCCTCAAGGGGTCTTTTCCAGCTCTCTCCATTTTGCAGTGGAAACAGCTTTGGTTTAATCTGCAAATGCAGTTTGTGGATTCTGTGCTGTTTGTCTGTCTGTATTGCTGAAGCGCTCTTTCTTGCAGCTTCTTTGTGCTGATTCTTCTCAGGCTATGTGAGGATTGATCAATGCAGGCATGGGGAACCTGCACCTCTCCAGTGTTGGACTGAAACTCCAGTCGTCCCTTAGTCATTGGCTCTGTCAATTGGGGCTTAGGGGAGCTGGATCCAACAACATTTGTAGGGCCACTGGTTATTTTGTTTATTTTTAAATTAAATTTATATCCTGCCCTTCATCCAAGGATCACAGGGCTATTTACAGCAATTGACACAATTTGCAGCAAATTTACACAAACATACACAACAAAGTGGGACACAAGTGGCGCTGTGGGTTAAACCACAGAGCCTAGGAGTTGCCGGTCAGAAGGTCGGTGGGTCGAATCCCCTCGACGGGGTGAGCTCCCGTTGCTCGGTCCCTGCTCCTGCCCACCTAGCAGTTCGAAAGCATGTCAAAGTGCAAGTAGATAAATAGGTACCACTCCGGCGGGAAGGTAAATGGCGTTTTCGTGTGCTGCTCTGGTTCGCCAGAAAGCGGCTTAGTCATGCTGGCCACATGACGTGGAAGCTGTACGCCGGCTCCCTCGGCCAATAAAGCGAGATGAGCGCCGCAACCCCAGTGTTGGTCACGACTGGACCTAATGGTCAGGGGTCCCTTTACCTTTTTACACAACATAGTAACAAACTAAATAATACTCCCCTCCCCAGTTCAAAGGACATAGATTGTTTAATTAGCTGTCCATGTCCTTGAAATGGCCTGATCTTAATGGTACCTCGGTGTGTTGAAGTATTTGAGTTTGGAATGCATTGCTTATGATCTCCCTGCTCCGACTTCCTTGAGTTTTGGTTTGGTGCGGTTTGCTTCCTACCAGTGGGTGACATACTGTGACCTGGAATGTTAGGGGGCAAGGGAGTCCATAATCTGATGGGGATTGATTTTCAGAGGGGCTTTTCTAAGCACAGAAGCTTTTTTTCCATGGTGCTCCATTCAGCTGATTCCCTCCTTGCAGTGGTACTGCCAAAGCGAAGTCCATGGCTTACCTTGCTGAAGGACACGCACCCATTCATCTAGACAAGGTGGAGTGCAGTGGCACTGAGCACACCCTGGGGGAGTGCGTCACCCGCAAGAGCAACATTCACAGCTGTTGGAAAGATGCCGGAGTGATCTGTGACTACATAGAGGAGGAGGAAGGAGAACCAGGCAAACACAAATGCAGGTGTGTGGCATATTAACCGTACCCTTCTCTCTCCCTGGCGTTTTCAATAGTTGTGTGTAGACTTTAGCATGAAGTTTAGCTTCTAGAGAATCATGGCTTTCATTAGGCAAAGAGCAGCTTTGCATTACAGCAAACGGCAACTCCAAAAGCAAATAGCAAGTTGTGGGAGCTATTCCCCCCCACCCTGACAAACAAAATGGGAAGAAAGGGTGAAAAAACACCCCAACAAACTCTCAGTGACCCTTGGCCCTGATCCCACCCCCTAAAACACACACAGACACACAGACACACACACACGGCAATATGCACCAAGTTAACCACGATGAACAGGGTTATTTGTGACATTCACACTCTTGTCTTTTATTCCAGGCCCCTAGTCCCTGCCTCCAAAGCAGGCCCCTATGCTAGATTCCCAAAACCCCACCCTTCCTCAATCCCACTTAATTGTTTTGCAGTGTGTGAATTACCCAATGGATGGATCAGTCCTAACGCTCCCTGACACTCCCTGTTTCAGAACCTACCATTCGCAGTAGCTTGTCGACTTCTTGGTAAGGCCCCAGGATAAGGCTTCCCACTCTCAGCCATGGTACTTCCCTCTGCTGACCATGGTGCTGCAACGTAGCATTGTCACCACCGCCATCAACATTTGCTATTAAAAGTATGTCCTTAAAAGGAAGATTATGCCATGATACATTTGTTAGTGTTTTAAGGAGTTTTAAGGGTCGTTGTCAACTTAAGGCTGATACCGCCTCCAACTACAACATCAAGTTTCTCAACACCGTAAGTTTCCATGACCATTATGCCTGCAACTGATTTTTAGATCGAATTTGCAAAAAGTGTGCGTAACGTGCATATTTTATTTTGTCCGAAACAATTATTTTCTCCGGTGCTTTGTTTTTACGGGTAGGGAAATGCTTCGCCAGACTCTTTTTGTTTTCATTTTTAGTTTTCTGTATTGGCCATTAATATTCATGATGGCTTGTAAGCATTTCCCCTGGTTTTAATCTATTGAAATTTTCATGCAAGTTAGTGGTGCAAGAGAAGGGGAAAGTTGTCTTTTAATTAAAGTGGTATTATCTTTTCAAAATCTTTATACAAGGGCAAAATGTTCATTAACGGAGTACCGGCAGATTTTGTTGAAGTGAGGCTATGTGTTTAAATCACTTTGGCTTTTTTGGCAGGTTTGATATTCGGCATGTGTGGACGGCGCTTGCTTCACCACCGCAAAAAAAGGATAATTGGTGGAAACAAATCTCTCAGGTACCTCACTTGCCACTTGTAATAATAATAATAATAATTAATAATAATAATAAGGATGTTGCTAGATGGAGAATGCAATACTGTGCTATATGGACCAACGGTCTGAGCTGGTATAAACCAGCCTCTTATATTCCTAGCCCAGTTGTTCTGTTGCATGATAGAAAAATGGATTAATTTGGGTGTATTTCATAGTTCCTCGTGAGGTTTGCATGAATTACCCAGAGCAAAAGATTAACACTGCTCCCAAGTAGTGTTTAGGATTATTTCTAATCCCTTCTAATCATTTGGTCAAAGGGTGAGATTCCTGATAGTCAAGCAATACACAGACAAATTTAAGAGCGGGGTTTGTGCTCTGTTTTGGTCTTTTGCAATTGCTGGTGAAAATGCAGTTAACTAGGCAGGACTCATTTGGAATTCTATTCTTGCTCACTCCAATAGAGCCTGTAGTTGATCCAGCTCTGTCTTGATTGTTGGGCAAGCGCCCTTTTGTATTGCTCACTTCTGCTGTCTTCAGGATGGGACATATGCAGGGCCGGCTTTACCATTAGGCAGAGTAAGGTGGCCGCCTCAGGTGGCACTTTGTAGAGGACCATGTCACCTGACCCTGCACTGTGTACTCCCTGAGCTAGCCTCTGCTGCTTCAGGTGCATTGGAGGACTGTATCACCAGACGTGAAGTACAAGTCAGCTGCTGGGCTACTTATTGTTCTCAGCACATCTGTGGACATGGAAAGAGCTTCTATGTAAGAGGGCCCAAGTATGGTTTCCAGACAATATTTATTCCATATACATTTTATTTAGAATTTAAGCCATACCACATGACATAGGTTTTTGAAATAATGTATACGTGATTTAAACCTCAAAAAGGCACAAAAGGAGCAAAAACAGCCCCAAAAGAGAAGGAAAACTGCAAAAATGGCATGAAAAGAGCAGGAAAACAGCTAGCAGTCCTAGGAGTCTTTGCTGCTGCAATCCCAGGAGCCTTTGCACCGACCCTCGAGGCCTGTGAAGAGGTGGGGTTTGAGAAAAGAGGTTTGGAGGGAGCGATTGTAGTTGGGTGGATTTTTGGCAGAGTTCGGCTTTTTAGATGTTGTTCCTCACTATAAGCGATTTCACATATACATGCGCTATCTGGGAACGTAACCCCTGCGTAATACGCCTGTATTCATCCTTTGCCGAAAAAAATAAACAGACAACAACACTTTCCCTACACACCTTCCACTGAGTTCTCGCATTAATCAAAAGCTCCAGTGCTGAACTAACAAATAACTAACCAGTAATCATGTATAGATGGGACGCGGGTGGCGCTGTGGTCTAAACCACAGAGCCTAGGGCTTGCCGATCAGGTCAGTGGTTCGAATCCCCATGACGGGGTGAGCTTCCATTGCCCGGTCCTTGCTCCTGGCAACCTAGCAGTTCGAAAGCACATCAAAGTGCAACTAGATAAATAGGTACCGCTCCGGCGGGAAGGTAAACGGCGTTTCCGTGCGCTTCTCAGAAGTGGCTTAGTCATGCTGGTCACATGACCCAGAAGCTGTACGCTGGCTCCCTCAGCCAGTAAAGCGAGATGAGCGCTGCAACCCCAGAGTAGTTCGCGACTGGACCTAACGGTCAGAGGTCTCTTTACCTTTAATCACGTATAGAGAAATGGGTCCACTAAATGAAAACAACCCAGTAGCAGCAGGAAAAGGAAGAATCACCCATTGCCTCCCTGCCTGGGGCAATACAGACACCCTCTCCCTTCTTTTCACCTAGGGAGATTAAACCCCTTCCTCACCAAAAGACTTGCACCTTGATTGCACGCTCACAGGCATTCTGACATATGTAAGTGCCAGGAAATGTTCTGATTGGGACTATTTGTCTGTCCTGAGTTCCATCTGTTTGGCCATGATGCTATGCCTCAGATGTGTCTATCTGGGCCCCTGCTTGCTGTGCCACAGCTGTCTGCACTGGGGTTGCGTTCGTGGCTGCTGGCGCATTGTGCTTTGTATTCATGGTGTGTAGGGTGATGTCATTGGGTCGTTTGGGCATTGCTGTGCATTGATCGGCTCCTTTCATGCATGGCTAATGTGACAGCAGGGATGCACAATGCAGTGGCTGGTGGGTGGCATCAGAATTGCCAAGGACACGGAGGGAATGTCTGCCAGTGTTTCTATGTTGACTCTCCTTTAAAGCAGGTTTTATCTTGTTGTCTACTTTGTCGCTTAAGATTGTGGCTACATTATGCCAATGTTGTGCCATTGTTTGCAGCCACTGGTGTAGCAATACCATACAACTGCACTGCCCAGCTGCAGTTCTAAGCACCCTTACTAGAGAGTAAATGGAACTGAATTCAGTGGAACTTAAAGGTAAAGGGACCCCTCACCGTTAGGTCCAGCCGTGGACGACTCTGAGGTTGCTGCGCTCATCTCGCTTTACTGGCTGAGGGAGCTGGCGTACAGCTTCTGGGTCATGTGGCCAGCATGACTAAGCCGCTTCTGGCGAACCAGAGCAGTGCACAGAAATTCCGTTTACCTTCCCGCCACAGTGGTACCTATTTATCTACTTGCACTTTGACGTGCTTTCGAACTGCTAGGTTGGCAGGAGCTGGGATCAAGCAATGGGAGCTCACCCTGTCGCGGGGATTCGAACCGCCGACCTTCTGATCGGCAAGCCCTAGTAAGAAATAGTATCGTGTATATACTTCTTTGGAACTGAATGGTACTCTCTTCTCGGAAATAAGTTGACTTAGGCAGGAAAATGCTTGGCCAATCTAGGTAATTGCTCCTTCGTGTCCTTTCCCACAGAGCAGAGTCTATTCAGTAGTGTTATACTAGGGAGCTTGGGACAATGACGGGAAGATGGTTCAAATGCAAGTGATGGGAAACTCAAGCCAAATTAAAAAAAATACAAGTGAAATCTTGCATTTGAGCCTGTACTGTGTCAACGATGGTGATGACAAAAACATAAACCCTTTTCTGCCAGTTTTGCATTTATGCAGTGCCACCCAGTGGAGTTACTCTGAGTGGTTTGGGGCTTTCTTTATCTAGGCTTAGAGGCTGGTTTTAAGAAGCCATAATTGGCACATTGTTTTTTGCGGTGTGTTTTGAGAATTAAAAAAATATATGCTGGCATCCATCATGATTTGGATGCTTTGGGCAGACTCCAGCCATAATTTATTGAATGAATTTCATTACTGAGGACTAAGGTTATAACAGAAAAGTTGCCCTTGGCTCATAAGACAGGGAAGAAGAGGGATGGCTTACTGAGCCCAGTAGGCGTTTAATGCCTTGTTATGAAAGGAGGCAGTTTTGAAACCACTCTGAAAGCAATGGTCTCTGAACTCTGATTATTTTTCCAAGTGTCATCAGGTTGGATTTGGGGGCAAGGTGCTTGCACACCTCTAGGCATTCTTAGATTCCTTTATCTAGACCCATTTTGATCCAGATTTGGTACTGAAACTGCCTTGGCTGTCCTGTTGGATGACCTGCCCCCGTCTCCTCTGCCAGTGCTGTGGCAGGACCTAAGCAGGTGCATTCTCTTTGCATCCTCTTATTGCCTTCAGTTGAATACCCTTAGTGATGACCTCTTGCTGTCTGTACTTGTACAGCACCAAACACCAATGAGCTCATTTCAGTGCTGCTAGGTTACGATATGGAAGCAATGCTGCTGCAAACTGCTAGCTTGAAAGCAAAACATAATGGGAATGTTGGGACTGTCCGTGGGAAACAGAGGGACAGTCAATTCACAGTGCGAAGCACCGGAATTAGCTCAGAGTGTAATATGAGCTCTTCCTTTTGTAGCTGTACAGGAAGTACAGGAGGTGTTTGTCTCTCGACTGCTGGAGTTTGAAGAGGGCAGTCATGTTTTTTTGTAACGCTGCAAAGACAGAAATAAAGGCATGTAAATACGTTTTCTGTCTATCTCTTTCCCCTGCCAGGGGGGGCAGGAAAGAGGGTGTGTGTTCTTCTCACGCTGAGAAGGATCGCCTATCGCGACCTCTGCCTGGATCTTGCCGGGAAAGCAGACAGGGAGGCCAACAGGAGACCAAGCCGGGTGCCTGGGAGAGTTGCCAGTTTCTACTGATAAAGGCTTGATTTCCGACAGCTAGCAGTCATGATATTTATGCTGGTGATGCTCACTTTACTCTAGAAGGTTGTGCCACTAGCTAACATAGTTTCTTTAAGAAAAAACGCAAATTAATGAAGCATGGAGCATCCTTCACATAACCCTTCCTTCTGCCCTGATTTCATCTACCTCTGTATTTTTCACGTTGCCTCCCATTTCTCTTTCAGAGGAGGCTGGCCTTGGCAGGTCTCGCTACGTCTAAAGGGGTTTCACAGAGATGCTCGTCTGCTGTGTGGAGCGACTCTTATCAGCAACTGCTGGGTGCTGACGGCAGCACATTGCTTCAAAAGGTAACAGGCTGTTTGCAAGTAAAAGAGTCCTTAAAGTGCAGAAGTGCAAAGCACGATTGCCATTCTGTCCCCAACTCAAAACCGTCAACCTATGGCCCTCGCCTAAAATACCTACCTAAGTAAAGGGAGCCCACGATTGGCCACCTTTTGTGAACACAAGAGAGTGGCAGTCTTGAGATGGTGATCTTGTGTATTCACCTTAGTGCCATCAGTCAACGTGATGCTTTGCACGAATATCATTGCAATCTAAATTTCAACGCTGAACAAGAAAAGGAGGAAAAGGTGAGTCATCTCTATGGATGAATAATGGACTGACTGATCATTCTCTCATGGCCAGGTTTGGAGTAGATGTACGGCGCTACCTGCTGCGTGTGGGAGACCACCACACTGGTGTGAGGGATGAGTTTGAGAGAGAGCTGCCGGTGGAGAAGATTGTCCTTCATAGGAACTACCAGTCTAGCAGCAACGACAATGACATTGCTTTAGTCAGAATTCGGGGCAAAAGCGGCAACTGTCTTTCCTTCAGCCACCATGTCCTTCCTGTCTGCCTTCCTGAGAGGAAGGAGAAGTCTTCTATAGATAGACAGGCCTGCGTCATATCCGGCTGGGGAGATACAGGTAAGTTGTAGATTGTGTCAGGATTTTTCACGTGGAAAGAGATGGTAAGATTTGGGGTGTCTGTTCCACCCAGCTTTGGATAATCTTTTAGGGTGCTCACTATATAGAGACAAATTCAGCATCAAATTAAAGCACAAAACAAGCTGATTTGCAGGAAAAGCAGTCTTTTTGCCAAATTCATTTTAAATTCTGCTAAAGAAAAAGACTGAGGTAAACACAGTCCGCATTAGCCATTGGTTGAGAACTCTGGCAATTAATTTAAATACCCTCCCTGCTCATCTGATAGGGCATTTATTGAGATATTCGCAAACATTCCAGTTGTTGGAAGCTGTAAAAACTGCCAACGCAGAAGGCCTGGGAACAGATGCACCCATTTGCCATTGTTGGGAAATAGAGGGACAGGCAACGGCATCAAATGTGCTGATTAGACTGAGCGTATGACTACGGTGTCTCTGTATCATAGCAGAATGTGAACTACATGTGTAAATACTGTGTGTATTTGCTAAGGGCTTGGGAAGATGTTGGAGTGTATGAAGGAAGAATGGGCACAGGAAAGGCCGTGCACAGGAAATGTACCCACAAATTTATGCAGGTTTCTGTTTTCATAGTTGCAAGGTTTAAGAGGGATAATCCCAGATAGGCACTACTGAATAGGCTGCCAGCTACCCTGGTGTTATAGAACTCTGCAGATGATCACATAATACACATGGATTATTCCCAAATCTCAGTCTGCATGTCCCCAGATCACCCTGATTCTTTTCCTATGATCAGCAGCATGTGGGAAGCAGTGCTCCAGCAACCACTGCAAGATCATTCTGCTCTACAAGGATTTGGGCAGTTCTCTTTGCAGAATTAATGTATGCTTAGACACATGATAGGGACGCGGGTGGCGCTGTGGGTTAAACCACAGAGCCTAGGACTTGCCGATCAGAAGGTCCGCAGTTCGAATCCCCGCGACGGGGTGAGCTTCCATTGCTCGGTCCCTGCTCCTGCCTACCTAAAAGTTTGAAAGCACGTCAAAGTGCAAGTAGATAAATAGGTACCACTCTGGCAGGAAGGTAAACGGCATTTCTGTGTGCTGCTCTGGTTCGCCAGATGACCCAGAAGCTGTACGCCTGCTCCCTTGGCCAATAAAGCGAGTTGAGTGCCGCAACCCCAGAGTCGGTCACAACTGGACCTAATGGTTGGGGTCCCTTTACCTTTACCTTTAGACACATGATGCTAGTTACAGCTAACCTTTGTGTATCCTGTCTTGTAAACACATCCAGCATTTTGCCAACTTTTTATTTAAACCTGCTCCCCTGCCCCATAAAAACACATTACAGTCATACCTTGGTTGTCAAACAGAATCTGTTCCGGAAGTCCGTTCAACTTCTGAAAATGTTCGGCAACCAAGGCATGGCTTCTGATTGGCTGAAGGAGCTTCCTGCACTCAGTCAGAAGCCGAGGAAGCCCTGTTAGATGTTCTACTTCCAAATAATGTTTGCCAACTGGAACACTCACTTCTGCGGCATTTGGGAGCCAAAACGTTCAAGTTGCAAGCTGTCCGGGATCCAAGATACGACTGTATAAGATCACATCAAAATCCACTTCACATTGCATTAAAATACCATCCTGGCCTAGGGAAGGATATATTTTTTCTGTGTTAACCTAATCAAAATTGTGCAGGAGAACAATAGTTGTGTTTAGTGGGTAGGATTTTTGGTTATCTGAGCTGCACTAGATATATAACCTATTATTGTTTCAGGGAGGTCATACTCAAGGACGTTACTCCAGGGCTCGGTGCCTCTACTCCCAAGAAGAGTGTGCAAATCCCGTTATGGAAAGAAGTTCACTAATCGTATGCTGTGCGCTGGGAACATTTCTGAAGATAACCGGGTGGACAGCTGTCAGGGAGATAGTGGGGGTCCACTAATGTGTCAAAGGTCAGGTGGACACTGGGTAATTCTAGGGATCACTTCCTGGGGATATGGGTGTGGGCGAAAAGACTCACCTGGTGTTTACACAAAAGTCAGCAAGTTTGTGCCCTGGATCAAGAAGGTGACCAAACTGATATAAGACCATTCAACCCAAAGATGGATTTGTGTTGTTTTACTCAGCAGTATTTGGGCAGTGGCTTAGAAGAATGTCTTCATTTTGTCTCTGGTTGGGTGTCTGTTTTTTGCTGGTACCTAAACAAGGTTCGTTTGCAAGCGGGCAGCAAGAAAATATTTTACGCTACTGATAGGAGAAGGTGAATGAAAATTTAACATCCTTGTGGCTGATTTATTCATACAAAGTTCTGTTTATTGAAAGAAGAAGTGGTGGCAATGCCACTCTTTCCAAAAGAGCTGCCACACTTCTTCAGGGCACAGGGGAGAATGGGCTTGGTCATATTCCATGGTGCTGCTAGATGGAATATTTCTTATGGTGTGTCCATTCACACAAACTTCTACTCTTGCTACCCCGGATTACTCTGTACTGTTCACACCAGATCACCTGTATGGTTTCAGCTACCTGCTTTCTTCTGTTTCCACTCACCCTCTTTAATCTCTCTTTTTAGGCAGATATACACTAAAGGGTGATATTGACTCAATTCAGATATCATGCCAAATCATGGTTTGCAATTAGGTGACAACCCAGAATTAGAAACTGTTGCTGGAAGTAGGATTGCAAGCCATGGTTTATGCTATCCTTGGGTTGGTGTGATGCTTGATTTTATAGACACCACTCTGTCTCTAGACTCATCTAGAGCAGAAATGGCTAACCTATGGCCCTCCAGATGTTGTTGGACTCCCATCATCCCTGACCACTGGCCATGCTGGCTGGAGCAGCTGGCAGCTGGAGTCTACAACAATAACTGTAGGGTCACAGATTAGCAACCTCTAGTTTAGAGGCTGCTGAGCCACAGGAAGAGTAGGGAATATAGGAACGGATTGCTCTGAGAAAACAAAAATGGATAAGGAGCTTGCAGTGACTTGCCTTTTGTATGTTTGGAAGTTGCAAACATTGTTGTTGTTGTTTAGTCGTTTAGTCGTGTCCGACTCTTCGTGACCCCATGGACCAGAGCACACCAGGCACTCCTGTCTTCCACTGCCTCCTGCAGTTTGGTCAAACTCATGCTGGTAGCTTTGAGAACACTATCCAACCATCTCGTCCTCTGTCGTCCCCTTCTCCTTGTGCTCTCCATCTTTCCCAACATCAGGGTCTTTTCCAGGGAGTCATCTCTTCTCATGAGGTGGCCAAAGTATTGGAGCCTCAGCTTCAGGATCTGTCCTTCCAGTGAGCACTCAGGGCTGATTTCCTTAGGTTTGATCTTCTTGCAGTCCATGGGACTCTCAAGAGTCTCCTCCAGCACCATAATTCAAAAGCATCAATTCTTTGGCGATCAGCCTTCTTTATGGTCCAGCTCTCACTTCCATACATCACTACTGGGAAAACCATAGCTTTTACTATACGGACCTTTGTTGACAAGGTGATGTCTCTACTTTTTAAGATGCTGTCTAGGTTTGTCTAGGTTTGCAAACATTAGAATATGTTTAATGAAAACCATGATTTGGCATGATGTCTGAACTGAGCTATTGTGCTTTTAATCTCACATTACTCTCCTGGGTGGTCAGGGGAATTATTTTTTCCATAGAAGTTCTGCTTCTCTCACACACTTCTCCTTTCCATGTTTTCAATTTCCCCCCTCAGGTCAGTGAGAAAGTTTTAGGATGCTGACTGGGAAGATATGCCTGATGTCTCCTCCCCCTCCCTGTTTAACATTTGTCTACATATCTCCTTAACACTATAACATCCCAGATGTTACATATATCAAGAGAACAGTTTTGGAGAGTAGCATTTGAAATATCTTGCAGCTTTGGAAGACAGGCAGAAGTTTGTGAACAAATGCACCAAGCTAGTGTGGCTGGACAGAGAAACAAAACCTTGAGACAGCCGAAAACATAGTACTTTAAAGTGTTCGTGCCATTTTAACTGAAATGAATGAAACGAAATGTGGCATATTCATTTTATTCCCTCGTTTCTTTCATAACACTCCAGCTGGTCAGCACCATAAGATGCAGAGTTCTGAAATATATACTACCTGGAAACTTTAACCTGTGTCTTCCTACATGTTTTTTTTAAACACATTAGATGAACAGTTATGCAAATTACCACAGATGTTTGTTTGCGTTTGTGTGTTGTGTGTTACATTGCTGGCTAACTATTGCTTTGTGAGGCAGGCTGTTGGTTCATAGCCCAGAGTGGTCAGCTGATGTGAGCTGTTGAAACTGCCTGAATGTTGAGATCTTCCTCAGTAGCCCTCCTGAGCCTGACATCAGAAACAAGGCAGGTGATGAGCAGAGAAAGAGCCTGCCTACAGCAGCATTCATCTTTGAAATGCCCCCACTCCAGGCTTGTGTGGTGCCAACTTTTTATATGTCCAGGGCATTTAAAGATCTGTTTGTATTGTTGGCGTCTTGGGAGACAATGGAGGAGTATACCTTTGGGGATGACATCAAAACTGTTGGAGAATTTCAGTGCCTGCTGTGGCTGTAGAGACTGATACAGGAGAGACACATTTTGTTGCAGCTGGGGCAGATGAAGGCGTCCAGTTGTGCTGATGCACGTGTACTATGGTGTTTCTTCTTTCTGTGCTCTTCCCTTTTAAGATACTGTTTTAAGAAAATAATTTGGATTTTACCTTGCTCTGGTTTTAATATATGGTTTTACCGTTCTGCTGTTTTGTTATTATTATTTATTTTATTGATTGTTTTATTGTGCATTTTTATTTTTATTAGTCAGGAACCCATCGTGGTTCAAGTTTCAGATACAAATTTGTGCCATTAATTAGAAATGATTAGGAGATAGTTGGGACTCTGTGTTTGACTGAGTTTCCCCTGAGCCTGGGAAAGAGGGAGTGGTGGATGTGGCAGTTTTGGAAGAAACAAAGAGAAAGATTTGAGTTGGCTCCAAGGGGAAGTTCTCTGCAGAACAGATATGGGGAAGTACATTTGCTGCCTTGTTGGAGTGCCTTTTTGACTCCACTTAGGTTTACTTGTATATTTGTAAATAAACTAAATATTACAAAGAAGAAGAAGAGTGTATGTCTCCAGTTCTTTCTCATTCAAAGGAAATCCACCCTGGGCAGCTTTGTCATGGAATTTTTCACCACAACTCAGAATTAACAGCATGCATTATAAAATTATGGTAAGATGTCTATGGTGTATAGCAGGCTTCCTCGGCCCTCCAGATGTTTTTGGTCTACAACTCCCATGATCCCTAGCTAGCAGGACCAGTGGTCAGGGATGATGGGAATTGTAGTCTCAAAAACATCTGGAGGGCCACGGTTGAGGAAGCCTGGTGTATAGTCCTAGTTAAACTGGGACCCTTATTGGTATTTATTAACTTCAGAGCTTTCCAAACTAGAAAATGTGGCTGTCTTGCCTACCGTAATCAAGGGAAAGGCTTTCAGATGCGTGTTAGATGGCCACACCCATCCCTTTAATCTGAACTTCCGCTCTTATATTCTAATAAATGTGAGATTTTTATTTTTATCATTGGATTTATAAAAGGAAATGAAAATAATGTTGCTCTCAAGTCTCATATGCAAAGCACCTCTCAAGTGGAAGAAGACTACTTCTCTCACTCTCATCACTGGGAATCCGTTGATAGCATGACCAGTTTTCAGAAATTAGCACATATGTTGATTAATGGTACAGTAATGTATCTTTTGATTAAAATTTTAGTTAGTGCAAAACAACATAGCACTGTTTGCTTACATCATCCACAAACCGTCCTCTTTTATTCAATTAAAGTCAACACACTATCCCTCTTGCAGCACTATAAAAGACAAGGCACAGTAATTACCAAATTGTCTGTTCTGTGTTATTAGCATGAGGTGTAATTACAGCTGCCAGTGTTAATTACTATCATCTCTTCCTCACAGCCTAGAATGTGCTTTTCAGACAATCTATTCACAAGAGGGGGGGGGGCATAAAATTCTGAATACCGAAGAGCTAAAGGTCTAGTTACTGAATCTCTGTTATCTACTCTATTTGGGAATCTTGTTTGGGTCCAATAGAAGGCTGTAAGGAAAGCACCCAACATTGTTTGAAGAAAAATAAACCATATTTCTTAAAGCCATGACAGTCTCCACTACATCTTCTTCTATTCTCCAAAGGCACACAGACCCTGTGGGGGGGCCTGGAACCCCATGGACTTTTGCCACTGCTCAGTAGAGAGGGGCAGGCACCTGACTTTTGTACCAATATACTGGTAGTTGTGGTGTTAGTGACTGCATGAGCTGTCTTCAGATCACAGCACAATGGGCTGCTGAATAAAGTGGTACCTTGGATTAAGAACTTAATTTGTTCCGGAGGTCCGTTCTTAACCTGAAACTGTTCTTAACCTGAGGTACCACTTTAGCTAATGGGGCCGCCGCGCCGCGCCGCTGGCATGCGATTTCTGTTCTCATCCTGAGGTAAAGTTCTTAACCAGAGGTACTATTTTTGGATTAGCAGAGTCTGTAACCCAAAGCTTCTGTAACCTGAAGCATCTGTAACCCGAGGTACCACTGTATTGCCTTTCTATGACATCTTAGTTCACCTATTTACACCTTCAGTCTGCATGGAGGGAGTCCAGATCTTACGTCATGGTTTTTTCAGGAGGCAGCAGTGCAGCCTGCCTGCAGCCAGCCTCCCCCAAAGATGGATCTCAGCTTTTTTCTTCCTCCTCCTTCCCAGAAAACCCTCTGCTCTCCCCTCAATCCCCAGTCTCTGGTCATACCTGGGGCAAGGGGAGAAGGAGTTCCCTTATATTGTTAATGGCCCTTTCTTGTTTCCTTGATGGCATAGCTCTGCCAGGTTAGTTTGCATAAACCAGCTCAGGAATCCTCTGTCTGCCAAGTTCTGCAGTTTGTGTTTTAATCCATATCCCAATTAATAAAAATCCTTGTATTTATTCATTTTTAGGAGGGTATCCCCCCAGATCTTTAACAATATTTACATAATTGTCAAACCATTGATGATCTGGACTTGCTGCCACAAACCTGACAAAACTATTGATGCTTCCCGTGACTTCTGGACCATCCAGTAACCTTATTTTGGAAAGCCCCAAGATGCAATGGCCATTTTGGTAAAGGATACAGATTGATGGAGGTTCTGTCATAAGAGTACACCCTTACCTAAAGGGATAGGGACTACTTACCTTGCAAATCTTCCCATGCCGCCTAATGAGCAAGTAAACAGATTGCAGGGCTTTGTCTGGTACTTTAATTCCTGCTTCTTTGCCTGATACATTACACTTTCAAGCAGTCAGTGTGGACCCCAGTATTCAGAGTATTTTTTGCTTTCTCCTGGAGGGAAAACACAGAATCCACCTGTTTGTTTTGCTTTGCTGCCTGTTAGCCACATGGAGCAGTAGTCAGGCAGAAAGTGTAAAAATAAGTCAAAACTAAAAATAAAATTCCCTTCCAAAAATATTCACCTAAAAATGAAAGAAGCTTCGAATTCGTATTAGCTGCTACCTTTTGTTGTGGAAGAGGAGCCCAGACGGCTGCCTTATCCCAGCTGCGCTCAAGGGTGGCCCAAGACATTTTTCCGCCTGAGGCAATACATCCTGTTGCCACCCCACACAATGTAGCTGGGGAGTTTGAAGCTCTGCTAGAGCTTCCCTTCAACAAATAGCCGCTACAAAGCCTTGCTGCTGTGCATGGTGGACTGCAAACTCCAGAAGTGCACCCAATGGAACCTGGCCAGAGGGGGGCACTCTGGAGAGCTTTGGCGCTGGATCCCTATGCCTGCAGGGGTGGGTGGAGACCAGTGGCAAAGTGGTCTCTGCCACTGGTAGGGCAGGTGGGACGCCTCCTCTTGTGTTTCTGCTGTCTGAGGCAGCTGCTTCTTCCTGCCTCATCTGTGGGCTGGCTCAGGCTACACTGAAGTCCTGGATTTCTCCAATGTTTTCTATAGGCTGCTCCTCACTTCCACCACCTGGCAGGGTCTGGCAGTACAATCCATGCATGCCTGCTCAGAAGCAAGTCCCACATTCAGTGCGTTCAATGAGAGCTGAAGCACATTCAAAGCACGATCTTGGGCAAAA